CGTAAAAGCGACACGGTTTGTATCTAGCATATAAATTTAGTAAGATTTAAATGGCGTGGGAAATATGCCTGCCTTGATGTTACTTTTGGTTGGTTAGAGCTAAATTTTTTATGATTATGCATTTATGCTAGAAGCTGTAATACAGGTGATCTCACGATCTAGCTTAACCAACACTATTTATGTCACCCTTGTGAGTTATGTGTTAAATTGTGTGGATCGAATGTTGGTGTGTGATAAGGACGGATAAATCAAGTACATAACTCTAATTGATTTTATTTATTTATTTATTTATTTATTTATTTTTATTTTATTTTTTTAATCATGTGTAAATCATCCTGATCTGCCCCAGTACCTCCTGATATTTTAAGATTCAAATGGACATTATATTTCACATTTTTAGTCAATGGAGATGCAGAGAGTTGGCAAGGATCTTCTTATATCCTTTATTTGTAAACAAAATACTTTTCAACTCTATTTTGTTCTCTGATTTATTGCAAATATCTGGGGATACCTTGTAATTGTGTCCTTTTTCATTTGAGATGTAGGGGCTTGATCTAGGAGAAATTATAGGAAGGGGATAGGGAAAAGAAAAAAGTTATTTTGAATTTCTATACACTTCAGGGCTCTCATTCTCGTTTGAGAATTCATTCCAAATTCACTCCAAGTAGCACAACCACAAGTAATATTTACTGCATGGCATTTTGATGCCTCCTTCATGTAGGTTCACATTTTGTTTTCTTCACCACTCCTTGAGGATCAACTTAAGATAATCATCTCATTGTTGTTTAGAGGTTGTCTAGCAAGGTTGGGTGGGTTAAGTTAAATCTTTTATTGTTTAGCAGCAAAGCTAACAATGAGTATGGTTCGTCATTGCTTTTTATTAAAAGTTCAGAAGTATATCACAGCATCTAAGTCTTATTCACCTCTGTATTATTCCCCTTTCTGTGGCAGGATGGACAGCCAAATCGTATACTCTTGGTCAGTATACATCAAGTTATCTATCCTATGACAGTTGATGTTCTCAATCAGGTGTTTTCTCCGTATGGGTTTGTGGAAAAAATTGTTACATTCCAGAAGTCAGCTGGTTATCTTCTTCCTCTGGTCTTGCCTTTTGTAGTTACCCTGATTACATTCAGTTAAAAATGATTTATTAACTAATAATTGTTGTTAACCACATTTTTTCCGTATGATCCAAAACTTAGTAAATTTTATTTCATTCCTGCTTATTTTGTGTAGGTTATCAAGCTCTCGTCCAGTTTCAAACGCGGCAGAGTGCTGCATCTGCAATGAGTGCCCTTCATGTCTGTTATCTCTGTAAATTATTATAAGAAAACTTATATATCTTGCCTTCTGGATTCTCTTAAATTGTACATTTTTCAGGGGCGGAATGTATATGACGGTTGTTGTCAGTTAGATGTACAATACTCAAAGTAAGGCTTTATCTCTCTCACAATCATGAAATGTGATTCTTTATAAGCTTTTTTAAATACAAAATATATCTTATTCTGTCTGTCATTTCCTTATATTGCAGCCTCACAGAGTTGCAAGTGAATTTTAATAATGATCGCTCGAGGTCAGTTTGAATAATTTGGGATATTACCTTTAGATATAACGTATATGATGGTATGATATAGGTAGAACTTTGGCTTGATGAGTTAAATCCTGAGAGGTAATAGTAGTTAATTTAGAATTTAATGTAAAATTTAAGAAATGTGTATGCATGTGTGTGGGTTGCCATTTTGAGGCAATCAGGCAAACAGATTTTGGAAGATTTTCTTTTTAACTATTTACCAAGTATATCTGTGCATTAACTTAACTAAAAATATTGACGCATTCTTTAATACAAAGACTATGAAACAATGTTTTAATTGTGTAAAGTGAACCCCTCATCTCATCTACTCTCCCTTCCTCAACTAATCTCATTCTTGGACTAGCCTCAGTTACCCCCCCCCCAACCCCACCACATTCTGTAACAGTCTTTTTTCTTTTTGTCAAGTTTTGGTGGCTCTTGGATCCATCTGCAGTTCCTCTTCCCAGCTTATTTCTACTCCCTGCATGTATTCTGTTAGGGCTTTTAGGCAGCTTTTGTTCTTGGGACTTGCATATTTACTCTTGTCCCTAGGGGTGGGGAGATATGTTCATTATCTGGAAAATGTTTTTACATGTGATCAAATTTAAATTATAAGTAATGTTGCTTAAATTAGTTGTTTTTGTTCATTATTAACTTTTGATGAGAATGATTAACTGAAACGAAGAGGAGTAAAAATCATTATTGAGATTTGAGAACGATACTTTGGGCACAAAATCACCATGGATTTGTTTTCTAGAAATTTTTTCCTTTAATAGTAGTTTGAGTTAACCCTTTCACTCAGTTAAAGAATCTTTATTTTCTATGCCACATAATTTGGCAGAAATCAGAATCCTATTGCTGAGATGCATGTTAGACATTTGCATATCAGAACATAAGATACCCGTTAAATACTGCCTTAGTTGCGGGATAATGGGATGGACTTTCTGAATTCTAGGTGTGCTTTGTGCATTTATTGATTTGATTGATCTGGCTGACATGTTTTTCCCGATTGGGCAGAGATTTTACCAACCCAAATCTTCCTACAGAACAGAGAGGCAGAAGTTCACAAGTGTGTATTTTTTTTGCTTGTTTCTTGTTTGGTCTATCTTGATTTTGGCATCCCTCCTGCTAGTCTAGAATCTAAAGGAGGAAATTACTCAGTCTTGTTCTCCTTGGTTCAGTGACCAAGAATGATGCCCAAGTTTTATCTGCTGCTGATTTTTGTGCGTGGTTTTGTTCGCAACAGTCTGGTTATGGTGATGCAGGGGGAGTATATCCATTTCAAGCTACTGGGAGTGGTTCAGGTGCATAATTGCCATAATATATAGTAAACTTTGGATTTCTTTTTTATAATTAAAGTCTTGACTCTGGAGAAAATTCTAATTATGATTTTTTTTTTCTCTCTTTGTTGCAGCTGGATATGGCCAGGTTTGTATTTCTTGTGCTTGAGCCTGAATGCTACCAGAGTGGCTATATTAATAAGTTAGATTTTTTATTTTTTCAGAATTAATATCATGTTCCCTGTTTTCAAAATTAATTTTTTTTAAAAAATATTCTTCTCTTCCTATTCCTTGTTATTTGTGGCTGTTTCAATCACTGGATTAAACTGAGTATTTTATAAAAACAATTAATTGTATATAATATCAAGCTCTTCACTGAATGCATGGAAGAATTGCAAAGTAGAGGGTTTTTTTTTTTCCTTCATATATATTTTATATTTTGGTCAGGTGAGAAGAGGGGGGGGGGGGGGGTTGCAAGAATGTTTCACCTGAAAACAGTTTCTTCGGTTCTATTTTTTTGCTTATAAAAAACTTTGTCCTGATTTGTACTGGTTTTTGATTCTGTGTATTATAATGCTCTTTGTCGCTTCTCCAGATGGGAAATGCTGCAGCTATGTCGGCTTTTGCTGGCGGCCTCCCTCCAGGTGTTAGTGGGACCAATGATAGATGTACTGTTATAGTATCTAATTTAAATCCTGATGTGAGTCAATACTCTGCCTCTCCACCTAATTGATCTTCACTCAATAGCACCTCCCCTCTTTTTCTCCTTTAACTGATTGTATGACAAATCTGTTTGTCAGAGAATAGATGAAGACAAGTGTTCAATTTATTTTCGCTGTATGGCAACATTATAAGGATCAAGCTTCTCCGAGGCAAACCTGATCATGCACTTGTTGAAATGTCTGATGGTTTTCAGGCTGAATTGGCTGTTAACTTCTTAAAGGTTTGAATCGCAATTGGACTTTTTTTTTATTTTTTATTGCAAGTTTCTCAAAGTAGTGTTTTTATTTATTTTCTTCCCGATTAGAACAAGTGCTGAGTAAACTGTAAATCTACGCTGACATAAAAGGACAGACTACATAGATCATAGGTTTTTTTTTTATTTATTTTTTTATTTTTTTAATTTGGGTCAAATACTAAAACTACCACGGACATTTACGACAACATATAATGATCATATATGGTTCCAAACGACATTATATGACCCTAGGATGTAGCCCCTAGTATCTCGAGATTTATCGATACCGGGTCCCGAAACCTCTGCCCAAAATCGTGTATTATAGCCTTTAATTTTGGACAATTTTTGACCTTTTTTGACACTAATATCCTCCGGGAGTCCATGTGGGTGGGTGGAACGATCCAATTTGCCTCTAAGCATCCTATTTACCCGTTTTCGTACACGCCTCTTGTACTGGCTATAAGCTTTCACAAGGCCTTAATGCAACTGACTAATGGCCGTATTTGGTTCTAAACAACATTATATGGACCCCGAGATGCATCCCGTAGTATTCCGTGAATTTTTGACACCGGGTCCCGACACCTCCTAAATTGCTCCGATTTCGCGTATTATAGCACCAAGATTTTTGAAGCAAATAGCAAGAAGCAAGTTTTAGTTTTATTCGAGACTGAAGAAGAGGCAACTGAAGCCCTCGTTTGCAAGCATGCTACTTCAGTTTGTGGATCAATCATCCGCATTTCTTTCTCCCAATCGCAAAACACATGAAAGATATAGGCTGCTCAGATCTGAAAGACGCTCTGCAAAGGTTTTGGTTGTTACATTGTTGGTTTCTAATTATCAGGACACTGTTTTGTAAAACATCCCTATTCTTCCTTTATTTGCCTTCCATAGTCTCTATAGCTTGTCGCATTAAGGAACTTTCACATACATATGTACCGTTCAAAACTAATTATGGGTTTGAATTACTGATAATATAGACATTTCTCATATTTTCAGGCGGTATAATGTTGTAACTATTAAGGTAGCATCTCGATGCTTTGGCTATGCCTTGTTCATGCTCTACTTGAATCAGTTGGACATCCAACTGAATCCAAATTTAGTCAGTCAATGAGGTTTTTTTTCACAGAATTGAGATGAATGGCTCAAAAAGACTCTTTGTCCCTTAGGATGGAGAAAGTATTGTACTGCCAGAGTGGGAGGATTAAGGTCTTTAAGGACATTTTTTTTTTCTTTTTTGAAAGAAAGGTCTCTAAGGATATTAAGGGAGTGTTTTTTAAACTCTCAACCATTTTTAAATTAATTAATACTTCAGCGCTTACATATATAATCTCTCAACTACTTAAAATTAATTAGAATTTAATTTCATAATTTTTACGTAATAATAATACACCTAATTTGTCATTTACAATCTTTTGTATACGTGTGACTTTGACAATCATTTATAAATACAATACACGTCTACCTTAAATAAAACTACGGAGAAAGTGTAATATTCCCACTTTGTATCAACTCGATAAATCAAACCTTTTAATACATACTCAAACGAAACACGAAAATATCTTTATAGAATGGATAGAGTATACAACATCCAAAAAAAACAACAACAATAACAAAAAAAATCCGGTAATTCTGGCGATAAGACTAATTCGTAATCTGTTTCTCTCTCCTCTTATTTTCTTGTAGCAACTATAACACTCTCACACGTACTTTCTTCTCCGCACTTTCCGACCTTCAAGTTCAAATTTTCCATTATTTGCCGAATTAATCAAACCTCTAATCTTCCTTTATTCTGCAAATTATAGTTTTTATTTTACAATTATTGGTGGTACTCCTCTAACTCTATTTTCCTCTTTTCAACCCTAGAATTTTTCTTCTTTGATTCTTATCTTTTTTTCAATTTTTAATTTTTAATTTTATTATTATTATTTTTTTTCTGGAATTGATGTTGTTTAATATTGTGATTCCTAATATTATTATTGAGATTCTAATTTGTGATTTAATTTTTATTGTTTTTTTCAGAGAAAATTGAAGAAGGAAGAAGGTGGTGGTGATGGATAGGTATACGAGAGTAGAAAAACCTAAAGCAGAAAGTCCGATTAATGAGAATGAAATTAGGATTACTACTCAAGGTCGTATGCGTAATTACATTACCTATGCCACCACTCTTCTCCAGGTTTTTTTTTTTTTCATTTTCTCTCTCCTCTCTTTTTTTGCCATTTTTCTATCAATTTTACAATGTGTGTTTTAATATTTATTTTTGGGTTTTGATTAATTTTTTTTGTCTTTTGAAATTTGGATTGCCTAATTTTCGTCGGCATTATTTCAATTTTAGGTTTGATTGCTTAATTGGGTGGATTATAGATGATTAATTGATTATGTTGTTGATCATCCTTTTAAATTTTGTGTAAGGTATTGATTTTGGAGCTTATTGAGTATTTGCTAAAATGTGTATGGAAGTAAGATTGAAGTTTAGATTTTTTTCTAAAAAAAGTGACATGATTTGTAAATATGTTTTGGTTGATTTTTCTTTCAATTGATTTTCATCAATGTTTGAGTTATTCTTATAGTTGAAGTTCAAAATCATGAACCTAGGTACGTAGGTTTCTAAGTACATTAATCATTTAATCTTATAAGATTGTCTGAAAAAAAAGTTCAACTTAATAATAATAATTTAAAGGCGAGTTTAAATTTGTGTGGTCAATTAGCATAATTTTGATTAAAAATGACTAATTTTTATAATTTGTTGTATCGATAATTACTACTCGTAGCAACATCTTTGGGGTTTGGATCCCCTGGTATTTTTTAACTCCTAGTTTATATTTCCACTAATCTTAGGCTCTTAGCTATATGTTAAAAATTAAAATCAACAAATATTATTGTTCCATATCATCTCTAAGTTTAGGGGTATGAATTTACAATAAAAATTAAAATAATACACTACTCCTTCTAGCTCCCGTATGGACAAGTCACACTCCTTGATGGTTTTGAATTGTGATAGACTAGTTGTGGTGGTGGAAATAGATTATGGAGGAGGTAGGTGTGAAGGAGATTGATGGTTGCGAAGAGTGGTGGTGTTGGGTGCTAAAGACGAAAATTTTGAAAAGGTTTGAAGTCTAGAAAGTAGGGTGTGCTTCCTCTTATCTAGGGGCATTGTCATCAGCTGGTATCTAGTCATATATTTTTCAATCTAGATTCTTACAAAGCTACATTTATGTTTGACATAACATGAAGTTACCTCACTGTGCTGACCTTTCTCTACTGATTCCTTTTCCCTAAAAGAGTAGTATTAACTTCTAGTGGCTAGTGTGTATCAAATTTAGGTTTTCGGTATCGATATATTGGATTTTCTTTCTACCATTTCTGCTAAAGGAATCATCTTTGTCAATTGCATTACCAACTGCATGGATTATGATGAATATAATTAAATTAGGTCTTTGAATTGTTTGCTAATCTTACTTCTCTATGATCCAGAATGGATAGCTCAATTGTATAGTTGATAAAGAGGTTAGGCTTTGGAGAAAATATCTATTCATTTCCTTCATACAGTAGGATATTGTTTCCCTTTTGGAAATAAAGGAAGTAGATCATCCCCTCATTATTTCCCTTTAATTTCCCTGTATGAATGTACCCTTGGTCTTTCAAACATGACTATGATGGTAAATCCTCTTAAGATTACGTTTTGAGATACTTTACTTTGACCAATTATTCATTGTGTGGGAAAAAAAAGTGTTTTTAACTTCTGACATTTCCAGCCTACCCCAACTGGACATAGATTGAACCTGTCTCTTCACTAGGTACATCTGACATTCCTAATCTGCTCTGAATGGGTAATATTGATGATTTTGATATCACCAATTGCATGGTGATAGTTGTGGACTTGTGGTTTCCACTAATTTAATGATAAAAGTATGATATTCTGCTCTACAAACTGTTTGTTTACTATCTTAACCATTTTTCATCATCGTTTCTTTCCTGATCATATGTTTATGTTTGGCCTATCTGTATGAATATTTGTGCTGTGATTTACTGGGGCTTGTTCCTGTTGATTAGGAGAAAGGTTCAGATGAAGTTGCGCTTAAGGCAATGGGTAGAGCAATCAACAAGACTGTGATGATTGCTGAACTAATTAAGGTATATTGGCTTTTTAATTTTTATCATTGGTATTTATTTGGGAATTTCGTGAAAAATGATACAACGTGCTATCGATATGTGCACTGTACAATGCAATATAATACAAATTAATGAATATGTAATTAGTGTCACTGTCTCGCCAACTACTAACCCTTTTGTGCAAAATTATATAATTGTTACCAACCTTAATACTTGCTACCAGCCTACCACCAATCTACCTGTTTTGTATAGTATGTGTGCTTGTTTGGTAAGAATTTTCTATGGTTTCAATTTGGTACCAGAGAAGGATTGTGGGTCTCCACCAGAATACATCCATTGGATCAACTGATATTACAGACAATTGGGAGCCATTAGAAGAAGGCCTTCAACCGTATGAAACTGTAAACCTAACCTTGTATTTAGGTTTTTAAACTTGTGTACTGGTGCTAATATTTATTGCTTTCATCCCAAGTAATTTTCTGCTTTTCTCCTGTTACAGCATTGAAACTACTCGTCATGTCTCCATGATCACAATCACCTTGTCTAAGAAAGAGCTGAACATATCATCTACTGGGTAAGACTATTACACTATTAGATTGAATAATACTCTGTGCTATAATAGTCTGATCTCTGAAATTCTGAATAGTTTATCATACCCCAAAACTCAATTGATGGTGTAAAAGTACAGAATATTAGATTAATTTCACATGCAATTTAAATTTAAGATGCTATACAATATATTCCTTGTGATTTTGTGACCAAAAAATGATTTATGAAATAGAATTCGACAACTAATAGCCCATTCCTTGTCCTCAAACAAGAGTTATTTCTATGTGGCATATGTTCCCTTAATCATTGACAGGAGCATATTGTTATCCTAATTACAATCTCCTATATGTAGGAGACTAAAAATAATAGACTACTATCACTAGGTTGTGATATTAAAATATTATGCCATGCCAAAGTCCAATATTTTGCTTGTATTATCTCATCACTAACTGCTAATACAGCATTATGGGTGGTAAATTTGGATCCTAGATGTCCTTGTATAATCCTATTATATTGTATATCAAGAAGCCAGAATTCCAACTTGAGGGTGGTCAGTCTTTGTTTTCATCTCTGTTGTCTTAGAAATTCTTACGTTATTTGTTGAAATAGTGATTTATAACTGAAGTCATTGTGAATTTGTGATATATTAGTAGCTAAGAAGTTGAATTTTTAACTCTTTGTAGTTCTTTTGTGCTGTTGGTATATGAAAGTATAAAACAATCTTAACTCATGTGGTTCTTAAATGAAAATTTTAAATCGCATTTTGCTCATTATATATATTCTTCGTTCTCTTTATGTTTTAGGTATCAACCACCTATCCCTGAAGATCAAGTGAGGCCATCAAATAATTATGATAATGAAGGAGGTTAGATTTTTACTAGTACTTATAAGAAGATGCTTTCTATTAGATTACGAGAGTTTATATTTTAGGTTCCTTTGTAATAAACTTCAGTTAAGGTCACTTTGCAATAGACTTGAGTTAAATGTCCAATTTGACTTCATAAATATGTTGTCCCTGTTTATGTATAAATGACAGCAGATTGGGTGGTCTGCTTTATGTTTTAGATATTTGTTCTCATCATTGCTAAAAGTTGTTCTTTTTCGCATTGAGTAGTCTAGTTTCATTGATCACAATTCATAATCATAAATTTTGATCTATGATTACTGGAAATTTAATTTGTTTGCAACTTTATGGATTAAATTGAGACATAATTGAATGTGTTGTAAATCTTGGATTCATCTTAATTAATCTGATGTGGTTTTGCTCCTGCAACAGAGGATTCACCTGATGTAAGGGGTAGGGGACGTGGTGGCCGAAGTAGAGGCAGAGGGAGAGGTATTTTTATAATCTATCATTTTTGCTTCCTTTGCTTTATTTATGCCATTATTATGAGTTATAATTATCTATTGGATTTTCCACCTGAAGTCCAATATGAGGTTCCTTCGTTTGTGTCTTGACCATTTCTTGGGTTTATGAATTTACTAAACTGGAAAGTTATGTTCTCTACAGGAATGTATAATGGACCAGGGGATTATGATGGAGGTGGTTACTATGGTGGCCGTGGATATGGTGGCAGAGGCCGAGGTCGTGGCAGAAGTCAGAACTTTAGGGGGCGAGGAAGAGGTTATTATGCTCAAGGACCTGGTGGGTATTATGACAATGGTGAAGGGGAAGTGCCTGTTACTCGAGGGCGTGGTAAGCTTTTTTTTTTTTTTTTTTTTTTTTTTTTTTTTAGTATAGCCGTATAGTGTCCATTGTCATTCCTCCACCTTGAACTTAAACTTTATATTGTGGTTTATCATTGCTCACTATTGCAATGGCCAAATACAGTGGTTTTCCCCTTTTCTTCCGCTTTAATATGGGTTGAAACTGAATTCAAAGTTCAATATATGTGCAAGATAGAGAATTCTCCCCTCCCTCACTCCATCCTAAACCCCTTTACCTTTAAGGGTTTTGCTATCTTTGTTTATTCCGTGAGAAGTCTTTCCTTTTACAATTGTTTTTTGTCCTTGGGCTATCTCTTAATTGGGTGAAATACTTTCATCCGTGGTACTCTTGATTGGATTTTCTGCTGATTCTCTGTTTTTGTAGGTCGTGGGCATGGTAGAGGATGGGCTCGTGGTCATGGTTCCGGGGGCGAAGGGACACCTCAAATGGCAGCTGCTTGACCATTGCTGAGGTACAACATTTGGTTTGCAGTTGGAAAAACATGATATTGGATGCCTGCTCTCTTGTGTTGTGTTGGTTGCTAATCATGGGCATTTTCATCTGTTTTAAAGATGTGGATAGTGCTGCTGCCACCGGCATGCAGCTGTGTTTTTGTAGGCTACAGAATTAGGTTTATTATTTCTTGCTGACAGATTTTTTTTTTTTTTTCTCCATCTTCATCTTCAAACACCCAAAGAAAGGTTGTAACATTTTATTTTTCTTTCCCATATAGTTATAATAATAGAGCAGTACATTCTTTTATTCTTAATATATGTTTCATATATTAATGCCCTCAAAGGGGCATCGTTTTGGCAACGACAAGCTTTAGAGTTTAGACCATGCAGAGACTACATTGTTAGCTGAACAAAGCTGTATCAAAATGATTGCACAGACCACAGTGTTGTTTTATAAGTATGATCTCAACGCCTAGAATCAAGAGGGGTTCTAGTCTGAATTTTTTTGTTAATATTGATAGTACAAGTTGCTTGGCTGATAGATTGCAAAATAAAAGCTTGATATCGTTTTCTTTCCTTCACACCGTGCCTAATTGCCTATTGCTGTCTCTGATTAATGTGATTATAGTTGTTTGGTAATAAGAACTGTGTAAAGGAATAATTGCTTACTAGTAAATTCAATTCCTCTCTTGCATAATTGAATTATGTATTGTATTTCCCTGGCAAACTTAACAATTTTGTTTTCATGTATATCAAGCTGCTGAATGACTAAATCATGACAAGTGTCGATAATTTGCAAAAGGCTAGCAAAATTCATTGATGCCAGAATATTGTATAGCATAGCAACAAAGTATCCCTGCTTAAGCAACCCATGATGGTCACTTGAGTAACAATATGAGAACATGCTTCCTACACTCATTATCTATGTAATAAGCTTTAAAAACTGCTTCGCTTTCAACCTAATGAACCACTCGATAGTTTAGTTCTTGACTCAAATTCATGATTTCTTGTATAGTCCATCGCCTTTAAAATTACAACTTATCCGATATTGTTGGTTTGTTCCCATTGATTACCCTTTAAGCACGTCGCACTCTGATTAAAGGCAAGAACGGCAATAAGTCTACCCTTCCAGGCGTTCCAGCCTTCTATTTTTTTGTCAAATTATGGTGATCTCATGGTTACTCAACATATGTTTTATATTGATGCTATGGTAAGTAGTGAATTCGGTAATCTTTAACAAAACAAATGAAGATGAATGATTCTCAGTCCGTTAATAGGACCTCGATGCTAAGCAACTTTGTGATTATTAGAACCATTTCTATCTCTTTACAAAGCTGAACTAAACTCATTTTTAGAATTTCATAGACGTATAGACTGTAGATGGAACTCTTATGCTTCCAACTCATATAACCCCGAGGAACACCCCAGGCTTTCAATTCAATTTATTTAATTAAAACAATTTTGGACTTTTCAGAGCCTAAAAATAATTGTCCAGTATTGTATATGATATACCCTCACATTTGGCTTCCATAAAACATTACTGAACTCGGCAAGATTATGCATTCTATGACCCCGTGAGGCCTACTTGGTGCAAGTAATCATCACATTCATGTCTTGATGCACCTTTCATTAACATGTCTTCAGATGCCTTTGAGAGTTCTTATTCTTGTGTATTTGGCTCATACCCATGCCTACAATATGGTCATACCTTGTCCCTCCCTTTTAGTAATCGTTTTTTTTTCCTGCTGTATTCAAACCATTTAACCTTAGAATCACTATACATCTATACTCCATTTGGCAAACTAATACAAACCATTTTACCCCTTTTTGCAATAAAAATTAAACGGATGTAGTATAAGACAAAGATCAAGGAACAGAAAATTGTTTACTTCTTCACTATGGTCAGACTCATGGCTCGGTAATACACTATTAAGACTCATGGTTTGAGATTGACATGCTGTCATAATTCTCCACTTGTACGTTTCGAACTACAACAATTAAGACTTTGAGAACTGTAAGATGCTTTTAAAACACAAGTTCCCCCTACAAATTAAGCCAGGTAAAATGACCACAATTTACTTATCAGACCATCTTTAATGAGCTGAGCTGAAAGCATTTCGACCATCTTTCCTCAGAAAACCTATCAGACTTGTAGCTTGACTTAAATGCCAAATCCAACTTCAATCCCTAATTTAGAGTGATGGGTGAAAAAACACATCAAACGTATCATGGTAACCAAAACCTCTTACCGCAATTAATATAATTTGTACTCTTATGACACAACAAAATCTAAAATGAACCAACTATGAAGTAACCATTAATTAACAGCAAAATTTCAGATGTCCACAGCAAGGAAAAAACCTTAAAATGAAATATGTAGCTGACAACATTTCACTCGTCAATTTTCTGCAAAAATACTAGCTTAGGGAGGGGGGTGAAGAGAAGTCTTGACAAGGAGAACTACAAGCCCGCAACAACTGACTGTGTAATACTACTTAAGCCTTAAGACGACCATAGAACTTCTGCTTCTCACTGGTGGTCTGGAAACGACCGTGGCCAAACTTGGACGATGTATCAATAAATTTGAGCTTGACCTCCTCAAGGGCAACACGAGATGTCTGCTTTTGGAGAGATTGCCTCAAGGTCACCACTCTCTTCTTAGGACCAACACAGCAGCCCTTAATCAAAATATAATCATCCTTCACAATACCGTAATGAGGGAAACCACCCATTGGAGTGATATCCTTCTCAGTCCTGATTAATGATATAAAAGTAGAATACCATCAGAATGAAGAAATGAAACAACATAGCCCATTCAGACAGCATAGTGGAGAAATGAATTCATTAATGGACGGGTATAATAATTTAAGAATTCTTGAAATGAGATTATAACAAACTAACCTGTCATACTCAGTCATTGCATTGTGAGTCTCCTGACCATTCTTACCAAGCTTGTAGATTTTCTTGTTCATTTCGGTACGGTGATGGTAACCATTCTGACCAGCCCTGGCAACAGTGTATGAGACCCTGGCAGGATGCCAGGCACCAATACAAGCAACCTTACGCAGACCCCTGTGAGTTTTACGGGGAAGACGAGTAACACCCCAACGGGTGACGACACCTTCATAACCCTTACCCTTGGTGACACCAATGATGTCAATCATCTCATCCTTTTGGAACACAGCATCAATTGGAATCTGCTTCTCAAAGAAGCCATAGGCATAGTCAACCTTTTGGGCAATGGTACCACCATTAACCTGAATTTCCATCAGATGGGCTTTCTTCTGTTTCAAACCCTTCATCTTCCTTACCTGAAAGTTCAAAATCAACAAAAGCTCAATTACTAGCGACCACACAACGTACAAATGGCTATAAGGTTACAAACAACCAAATTTGCAAAGGACAGGCCACAATATGAATTAATATTACTGCCTTCACTCTCCAAAGACTAGAGTACAAGTATCATTTCTAAATAAATATAACTGCCTTCACGCTTTTAAGAAGAGAGTTGATCACAGCAAAGAAGTAATTTGCTAGATGCAGAGCATGTTTTCACCTGATTGTGAGCCAAAACTCTGATAACACTAGCATACTTCTTCAACTTCTCAAGCTGAGATTGAATATCTTTCTTGCCCTCTTCACTGTCATATTTCCTAGAGTACTTGGTGAAAGCCTTCTTCTTGGCCTTGCACCAGTTTTTGTAAAACCTTCTCCTGAGCTCCTCACTCAAATGCTGGGCCCAAACAGTGTTCAATGTACGGAGACCACGAGGAGTCTTGACGTAACCAACCACACCAACGACAACCATAGGAGGGGTCTCAATAATTGTGACAGCCTCACAGGTCTCCTTCTTGTGAAGCTCTACAATACAAAATTAACAGAGGTACAATGTTAGAAACAGACATCATCATAATACAAAATTGCTCTTATTCAAAATAATTATGGACAAATAACATACTTGACCCAGGCTTCTCAACCTCCCTCACAATGTGGGTCATTCCTGCCTTGTTGCCAAGGAAGGCAGTTAGGTGTGGTGCCTTACTGGGATCATCCTTGGGAAAAGCCTTCACTGTAAAAAAAAATCAAAAGGGTTCAATAAGGTGTCAGCTCCCATCTTATTCACATTAATTATAGCATTAAAAAAAATAACAAACAAACAAAAACTCATACAAATCACCAAACAACAAAGCTAATTACAATTAGAAGCAGCAAAATGAATCACAAAGATTGAGGCCCAATTTCAGACAAACACACACATTCTCACAGCAGTTGTACAATCTACCGGATCCTGTGGTTGAATATTAATAGTTTATATTTACTTATCTAATTGAACACACTACAGATTCATAATCAAAACACAGAACAGGACATTCTCTAAAGGTTTCAAAATCACGATCACTCATAAATCAACTCTAATCAATGCATCTTATACATATATGAGAAATATATGACTAGTAGTAATATAAAAATAAAACATAACACTATAACACGATACATAATTCCTCAATATAATATCAATTCATAGATATACAATCGATTCGATTCAGACCTTGAACGATAATTATTACAAATAAACGGTACTAGTTCTTACCCTTTCCTCTGTGGCGAGCTGCCCTCTTCCTGGGAAGAAACCCAAGGGAACCATGTCTGGGGTGCTCAAACTTCCTGTGAGACATCTTACTTTTTTCTTACCTGCGTTTACATGTATCACAAACCAATCAGATAAACAACACTAACCACCATCATCTGGGTAATTATCAAAAGCGTTTAAATTCTTAAAAAAAGACTATTCTTTAATCATCAAATACAAAATGCACATTAAACAGAAGATAATCATCAAAAACTACCGCAAAAAGAAGTTTAATTAGGGTTCATTAAGCGGCGCGTTCATTTCAATTAAACCCTAATCAGAAATTCTCACATAATAAAATAATAAAAGACCACATTTATATTTACTCCAGAACAATATTCATCTAATACTAATTTCACAGTATTTACACTTAAAAATTAAGTGAGTTATTAATAAAACATACATTTCAATGCATTCAAATAATCAAACAGTTCACTAATCTAAGCATGAAAATAGATCCAAATTCGAGGAAATGAAAACATTAACAAGCAGAAAATCAACAATAACTCATTAAAATTAATACACCATTCAACAAGATATGCATCAAAAACAAAAATGAAAAAGATGATGAAATGAAACACGCAACAATTACCCATTGATTCATTTGGACATAAATCGAATGAATGAAAGCGAAGAAGAGAAGCAAATTACAGAGATTTCAGAGAAGTGCGAAGGAGAGAAGGGAGAGAGAAGAGAACCTGAGTCCCAGCGACTGCGATAAACCAAAATAAGTGAGAGGTCAGCTAAAACCCTAGAATGCCAGCTTTTTATACTGTGATTTATTTTTGGGTGATAAATAAATAGAGAGAAAGCCTACAAATCTTCTTTAGGGTTCAGTATTTGGGCTGGACTTTTAGCCCTTTAATTTTATTGAGGTGAATGAGATACTTCATTTCGTTAGAACTTTTGGGCCCAAGTGGGTGATTAGATCTTAAAACTCGAATATCTCTAGCAAAAAAATCTTTCGAATCAGGTTTGGGTCGTGTTCACGTGAACAATTATTCATATTTGATTTGATATGATTTTGGGTAGAACTTGGGATTTGGATCTGCTTAGTCGGGTGATTGGTTAAGTTCTTTTTATCTTATAATGTGAATTTATTACTAAAAATCTCATTAAAAAAAATAATAATAAAATAAAATACAATAAAATAAAAAGCATTAAGGCTCCGTTCGCTTTATCTTATTTTTGCTGAATTGAAATTATTTTTACTGAACTGAAATTAATTTTACTGAACTGAAATTATTTTTGCTAAACTGAAATTATTTTTACTGATTTTTAGTTATATTTTTTCTTTAAGATTACTGATTTTTATCGATCTAAAATTATTTTTACTGAATATTATTTTTTTAAGGTGAAATAAACAGGCCTAAGACCTAGAAATCCATACAAATAACATTTTTTATTTTTTTGAAACACATACAAATAACATTTTATAAAAATAAGATTTGTGTAATTATACAAATCTAACAATACCTCACTTAATAATATTTTTTTCTTATGTATTAGTGTTCGTATTATTATGGTCAAAGTTCAGGCAAGAAACATGATGTATAAAATGACAACCTAAATTAGGTCATACCTAAAAATTCAGTCCAAACAACATTTATTGGTTGAAGATAACGCCAATTGTATAACTGTTTGCTCGACACATAGTAGATCAATTGTAAAATATATACACCTGCTCGCCCAATTGATCTCTACCTAGTAAGGGCCCATGGTGGCATGGTCTTGAGTAATTGATAAGAGTCATGACCATAAACGGCTAAATTAATACTTCCTCCGTTTTTTAATAGTTGCAACAATTTGACTTTTATACTATTCATGTATTTCACTTTGACTAGGTTTGGTGATTTATACTTAAGCAAAAATATAGTCATGTGGCATCTTGTTAGATTTGTCTCAATTTATACTATTTTAATATCAAATCTTTATAATATTTACATATTGGTAATTAAAGATATTAACAATTGAAATTATGCATCGACAAGCGTGAAAAGAGAAGTGTTGCAACTATAAAAACACAGAGAAAGTACTTAACAAGGAAAGTAGATCATACAAACCACCCAAGTGGTCACCCGAACTATTATGGGCTTCATGGAAGTGTCTTGTTCTCTTAAATTGAATTTTATAATGACATGGTTTTGAGCACCAAACGTGCCTTTTCGGGGCCTGATTGCTTGGGGATCCTGGAAAGCATCTCAATGCATATTCTTTCATTGAAGAACCAAAAGTATTTTTCAAGGGCCAAAATTAAAAAGCTATAATTAGTGACGGAACCAGAAAATTTATATAGAGGGAGCCATTATTATAAATTTTAGTTGTATTTCTTACCGTATATACTACCTCCGTTAACAGTTATTTGCAACAAAGAGGGGTAGCACGGACTCCTAGGCAAAAGTTTTTAAATATGATTATTAAAATATAAGGGCAGTACTTAAGTATTAATCCAAAAAAAAAAAACACAATTAACCTAGACCACCAAACCCAGAACCCAAAATGACCACCACTTCTGAAACCTAGAACCCACTGAAAACCACCACCACCGAAAACCCAGAACCCATCGAAAACCACCAAACCCAAAACCCATAATCACCACCATCACTACCGAAATCCAGAACCCACTGAAAACCACCACCACCGAACCCACCAAAAACCACCACCACCGAAAACCCAGAACCCACCGAAAACCACCAACACCCACGAATCGATTGAAAACCACCACCAAAACCCACTGAAAACCACCAATATCCACTGAAAAACCACTACCAAAACCCGTCGAAAACAACCGCCAAACCCACCGAAAACAACCACCACCCCAACGAATTGAATTAATCCCAACCACCACCACCACCACGAATTGAATTAATCCCGATTAAGCCACCACCACGAAACCCACAAAACCTAGACCACCATCCACGAAACTCGTGTCGCCCAGAACCACCACACCCATGAAACCCACAAGTGACCACCTCCAAATCTGGACAAAAGATGGGGAAGATGAAGAAGGAGTGAGATTTTGATGATGAAGGAGGAGAGAGAAATTTTGATGATGAACCACTAGGAGGAGTGAGATTTTGATGATGAAGGGAGGAGTGAGAAATTTGATGAACAAGATGAATGTTAAGAGATCTGTTTTTTTTTTTACAATTTTTTTTTTTTTTTTTTTTTTGAAGATTAGATGAGTTAAGTTAACGTTATAATAGAGTATGGTTAGTGAAATGATCAAGGGAGTAAGTTGGTTAAGTGAGGGCAGTTTGGTCATTTCTTACAAAAAAAAAAACTTACTAAAAGAGGAAAAAAAACATTTGTTGCATATAATAGATAGCACTTGTTTATAGCAAATGTTGCAAATAACTGTTAACGGAGGTAGTATTAAAAATTGGAATCTTAAAGAAAAATAGAAAGGTCATATGCATATTGCTAGGAAAAATGATCATAAAAAAGAAAGATAAGATAAAATGAATTAATGTTTTGTTTAAATCCAAAGAAACAATGTAAATTTCATTTGCAAGGATTGAACACAGTAAAGCAAAAAAGTTTTACACTATTTAAACCCCAAAGTAAACCAACTTTGCCTAATGTAATGTTTTACACCTCTAACATTAGGCAACTCGTGTTTTACACCTCTAACATTAGGCAACTCATGTTCATATAATGCTTTACACCTCTACTAACATCATCGTCTAAAAACCTATCTACCTAGTTCTACAAGAATATATAAATACATATGTATTTATTTTTTTTAACTTTTTTAATGAAGATATTAATCTACATATAATTAACATTAGTTATGCTTTAAAAAACACGTGTAAGATCATTATCCTATTTTAATTGTCTTGATTGGGAAGAGGTTTTGACCTCTTGTCTAATTGTCTTATGCCACTTCGATCTAGGTCTCTAAAACCTTACCAATCTAGTTGTTATCTACACTAATATGAACATAATTATGTTTTTTTTTTTAATTCATGTCAACAATCATTGACATAATTAGCACAATACCCATCTATACGTTAAGGAAAAAGCATATATATGGATGTCATAATGTTGAATTAAGCTCACTTTTGACAAAATTTGTTAACACAAGGAAGATTCCATATATAGCTACCTAGGGAGATGTCGAAGATACTCTACTAGTTACACTAGAATACTATATACTATCCTAGGACCTTCATTTTAGACCTTATGCCTCATTGACTATTCAAATTACATAATATACCCTAAATTAAAGGTCACAATTTTAGAAAAACTTGGTAACAAATTAGGATTACAACTTTTTTTTTTTTTTTTTTTTTTTTTTTTTTTTTTTTTTAGCAAAACTTAAATAACAAACTAGTGAAACTACTAGTAGTTGATTGAAAATTCAGCAACTAATGATGTCAACCAAGTCAAGATTAACTTTGGCCCACTTGGGAGAAATTTGAACCTCAAGATTCAAAATTGGGAATATATAATGTTGACCATGGAGCTAAAGTAAGTTAAGTCATCTTTTTTAGACTGGAATATGAAATTAATCAAGTTATAGATTATTTCTCGAAAGTTTATAATTTTAACAATCAAATTACCTATTTTCTTTTTTTTTTTAGACTACTGAAATATGAAATTAATCAAGTTATAGATTCTATAGTAACATTATATACTCCCTTAATATGAATACTAAAATTACTAGTGTGGGATGCCGAAGCGACTGTGTCAGGATAGGTTGCTCGAAGGTTGGATGTTTTGAAAGATTTGCTAGAGGGAGATGCTTCTATGACTAGGGCAATCAAAAACTATGCACAAGGCTACTTTCTATGGTGGTTGATTTACGATGATTTTCGCAAATTGGATTTATTTGATGTTTTTATGTCTTTTCATATTTAGAGAGTTTGCAATACGATATCTCATCTAGTGGCTAGGTGGAACAATCATAGTAGTAACTAGTATGTATAAAGTTTGTTATTTGAACTCTTTTTCCAAAACTATTATAATTTTAGCGGAATCCGATTTATAATAAGGTATTACGTATATGCTAGCCTAAATAGTTTTCCCTCAAAAAATATAAACTAAAGTTATTGATACAAATTAATTTTAATATCAAGTTATCATGCTCAAAAATTAAAATCCACTTACGTAACTTTGTAAAAGCTAATGAAACATGCATGTACTTTTGGACAAAGTGACAAATCCAATAAATTATTAGTTATATGTTTTTTCTTTTGGATACAAGTTTAATAAACGAAAATAAAGTATTCCAAACAACCGAATGCATATATAAATTCCTCCAACATTGTATTTAGCTATTGTGTGAAGGGGAATTTCCTTTCTTCTTTAAAGCTAACTAATATATACACTACATATAAGTAACTTATTGTACCAGATATAACTTATTATTGTACGAATGCATTATAAACAAAACAAAACATTAACATGATATCATTTAAGGACAACAATTAAATTATTTAAAGTAAGAGAGTGAGGTATAGCTCAAGTGGTTAGAGCTCCCCTCCCGATTCCAGGAGATCTTGGGATCGATTCTCATCACCCGCTCTTGTGGCTCTCTAAATACCAAAAAAATAAATTATTTAAAGTAAACTAGTACAAAAGATACATTCCATATTGATGATCTATCATATTAATATTGATGAAAATAGCAATTATATACTTCGATCCTTATTATTTGTTAGCTTGTGTGAATTACTTATATGTTCATGGCCGAATAACCATAATTTTTTCTTTATTAAAACTACAACACATGATCATCTAAACGACATACCAACTTTTGAACATGAGATTATAATGCATTAATTATTCTCACATCATTTGACTAGATATAAACAAAACAAAAAAAAAAAGTAATTTAAGGTGTACTCCTTAAATTAATATACACAATATATACTTCGTATTTGTATAATCTTGAAAAATTCTTTGAAAGTGTAGATAAAATAAATAAAAATAATGGCATCATAATACTTGAAAAGGCTAAAAAAAAGAGAGTTGCCTTGGCTTGAAAGTTTCGCAGATAAAGTAAATAAAAACAAACGGACTACAAAGAGTTTCAAGTCGGTATATTTTACATGACGTGTTCTCAATTTAATTAATTAGGCCAAGAAATAGACGTTAATTTTGCGTGTTAAATCCTTAATTCCACCTCCTCTTTTATTCTTTATCTTAATTTTAATTTAATAATAATACTACTATAAATATAAATTTCCAAAACATGCGATACACCCTTCCTTGTTTTCTTCCTTGTATTTTCTACGCTTCTTCCTCTTTCTCTCTCCTCTACCTTAACCCTTAACACCGCCTTATCATATATTTATACATCAAACAAAAAAAATAAAAATATCTGATCAAATTTTAGTTATAAGAAAAATATAATCATGGAAGAACTTTTTGTTACGGACTTAGACATGGAGGTGGCTAGGCAGCTAGTGCAGCTAAGCGAAGGCGAAACAACAATGACGACAACGACAGCGACAACGAGTAGCTCCGGCAGTTGTAATAACAACCACCTCCTCTACACCACCCTCGACAAGGTTGATGGTGTTCAACATCGTCGGGTAGTGTTTAACAACGACTACGACAACGACGACAAGGTTGATAACAACAAGAGGAAGAACAGAAAGAAGGATGTTAATAATAATAATAATAAGATAATATCGTTGAGGTTATCGACGTTAGGTTCTGACGTGGCAGGAGAATTAGAAGATGTTGATTATCGAAGAAAGAAATATAGGAGGTATCGTTCTATTGTTGAGTTGTATAATCTTACCAAGCCTGTTAATTATTAATCAATTGTATAATTAATTATCTGATATTAAGTATTATAAGTTTATAACAATGTAATTAGCGTGGATTTTGGTATCTTTTACTAATTGAAGCTTATGTTTGAGGCTTGTATTTTGGAATAGTATGTAGAATTTCTGCATTATATTGTAAATATGACAATAATGACAAATTAAAAACTAGCCTACTTAAAAAGAGTATGATTTTGTGAATACTGGTTTGGTTTTGTAGTAACTACACAAAACACAAGTCTCATTAGTTTATGAATAATGAGTAATAATTTTTATAAGTGTGTTTGGATCTTATATAGTTATATTGCTAATCCTTATCTCATTGCTGGCTAAAAATGTTTTCTCAAATTAACTATTTGTTTTGGATGTAATTAAAAGTAATTTACTTTACAACACTTTTCATGAAAGTATATCATAAAAGAAAAACATTAATTTATACTCGTATAATTTGAACTAGTATTGTAAATACTAAATCGAATAAAGTAATATAACACCGTGTTATCAATACCATGACAATACTACAATAGGAAGATCTTCGATTGAATCTACAACTCGTGTTGGTTTGATTAGGTCCGTTAATTTAATTGCTTTAATATTTCATAAGGTATTATTGTAGTATTTAAAAAGAGAGAAGCAAATTTCTTAGTCCTCAAGTAGTACTAAATCTAAGGTAATATTCTGAGTGTGTGTCTCTGCATGCTCCTTAAGCTACTTTTACTTTTTTTAGTCATTTAAAGTTATCAAGAACTTCGTAGCCAAGGAATTAGACTATATCTTTCTTTGAAGTCGCGTCGCATCCCCGCATTCAAACCCTAAATCCAAAAAGAAAGACTGCTTTTTTGCGTTTTTATTGACCAAAAAGTCCAATGCCATTTCTTTTTTCTTACTCTTGAGTGTGATGAACATTGTGTACAAGTTATAATGCTTCCTACAATTACAAAGTAATAGAGATTAAGGGACGATTCAGTAGTCCTTTATAGGGGATGCTCGTCTATTTCACTTCATCATAATAATCCGGTAAAAACAATGGGGAGTTTGTACTACACGAACCGCTGCACTAGATCAGAACTCAACACCGAGTATCCAAGAACAGATAATTATAGGGTCAGGAAAACTGGACTTTGTTGGATCTTGTGATCTTCTCAAAGATGTGAATGGACACGATCATGGAGTTCCAGCAGCACATATAAGGATCAAAGGGCCAAGTAATGATTGGAGTCAGTGTTGTCATGATCTTTCTCATGTTTTCCAGACACGGATGGTTCCATCAACAGAGGCAGTTATCATACAGTCGTCCTTCGGATGATAGCTTACACTTGTAACCTGGTTGAATAGGGCAAAAGTCCTTGTCAATAAATTAGTAAATTCAGAATGTAGGGGTTCAAATGACAAATTCTACAATAACAGCATTTTAATAGACATCTGAGCAACAAGAGAACAATGTACAGGTAGAACACAGAATGACAGTAATACCCTTGAAATGAGTGAAGTAGAGACTGAAGACCAAAGAGCGGAGAAACTAAGCTTCTGATTATAGTGTTATGGACCTAACATAAAAGACATTTAGCTTTACTCAACCAATAAGTGTCATCATTTCAAAACAACCATGACGGATAACCTAAAATTTTGTAATTAGGAAATAACAAAAAAATGGATGGTTCTAATGGCAAATTACAAATGCATAACTAGTTCTGAACTTCTGATGCATCAACCAATTTTCAGTCAGAGCCATCGACTTCAAAAAAAATTATTTGTCAAAATATCCAAGTTGCTGAAACCAACTCCAGCGACATAGGACCAGCTAAAAAACTTATCCTTCATTCTAAACTAAGCGTCCTTTAAGGTTATGCAAACAAGTTAAGGAGTTGCTAGTTTTATTGGTATTCACTTTGGAAAAGTGAAATTGTATCGGGATTTTAAACTAACAAGGCATTGCTACGTTGGACAGGGAAAAAGAAACTTTAGGAAGTGGACGCATATTGTGAAGTGTAGTACAGAGTAGTACTTAGCAGGGCCATGGTGGGAAAGTAAAAACACACAAAAGAAAGATAAATAGAAGCAGTTCATGAAGTGTTCTGTTCCTATAAAAGTTTCAGAGGAACCTACAATGCAAACTCTCGGCTGGCACATTTAGAGGATGGGAAAAAAAAAATACAACAGACAAAACCATATGTAGTAATTAAACTATACAGTAACATTCACGATATCAAGTTGCCAACTCTCCAACCCACTTAAGGGCAATTTGGAGCATGCATAATCAATGCCACATTGACTTAAGTAGCTTTAGCTGTTGATGCATAATTTATTAACTGCCACTGATTTGGGTTCAGTTAACAAGGGTTGCTAAATTAAACTGGAGAATGGCTGAAGAACAAGGTCTATGGTTCTTATTTAACTAAAATTAGATCTATGGTGAAAAGGTTGCTTGCAGAGCCAAGACACTATCTAAGCATTGTTGGAGATAATTACACTACTATTTTCAGTTCAATAACATCTGGCTGCGACATATCTCTCAACATCAACACCACAGAATCAGGAAACATTTGCTGACTTCAGGGAAATGTGAGACAAACTTTGTTTTTTCCTCTTTAAGAAAAATGATGCTTTAGCAACAATAAGCATGTGCTTAATAACATTACCACTGAGGCATGAGCACGAAATCTTGAAGCCACAGAAGCATCCACCAAATCCCAGAAGAAAACATAGCCATCCTCCGAACCACCAGCCACATAAGCATCACTATTAGTCAGGCAGCAGTCCAATTTGTATGACTAATGTGCAAAAAACAAAGAATATTAGTAAAGACTTATGATGGGAAATACCAATCAAATCACAAGAAAATTACACTGATGAGAGTAGATGAAAATACAGAAATATGGCTAATTATGAAATAATGTGGAAGATGATTAATGTTCAAACTTGAATCACTAGTGCAGTGCACTTTTCATAAGAAGTGTAAAATGGCATGCAAACCTTGCACACATGGCCTTTGTATTCTATTACACTGATGAGAGTAGATGAAAATACAGAAATACGGCTAATTATGAAATAATGTGGAAGATGATTAATGTTCAAACTTGAATCACTACTGCAGTGCACTTTTCATAAGAAGTGTAAAATGGCATGCAAACCTTGCACACATGGCCTTTGTATTCTTGAAGTAGCTCCCCAGAAGTCCTATTATATAACAATCATTTAATGCATTAACAGAGAAAAATCTCCAGCTCAAACCTTATACCAACATGAGGAAGGTAAAAAAACATACCTGTCAAGAAGACGTAAAGTAGAATCTAGACAACTGGCCAATGTGCAGTTACCATCATTTGACAATGATATACAGTTGACAGGTTGTCCTAAGTTATCAGATAGTTCCCTGTTTGTATCCAGAAAAATGACATTATAATTTTATCTTTACAATATTTTAGGGGTTTAGTAGGCGGTGATGGTGGTCATGAGAATATATGTAATCTTGCAAGGGAAATCCCATGTCAATGTCCATGGTAATGCTTCTCGACCATCAAGTAGATGGATTTATTTGTAAATTTCCATCATCACTCTTTATCCATTACCCCTAGTCGACACTCAACACACACATAGGAGTAATTGGGGATAGAGTTGCATTACTATGGACATGAAACTTTCCTTATACGAATACGAACTAAGTAATTACTTTTACAAGTATACAGCCATTCACTACCGCCTACCAAATGGGCTGTGAAAAAAAATATGGAGCACTTCACAAACAATTCATGTTAGTTACCAGTTACTACTGATCCTAACTTGATATGCGTCAATATACATACCTACCGATGCGAATATCAAATGTTCGGACAGTCCCATCAACGCTTCCAGCAATAATTTCACCACTCGTCAAGCATACTGACATAACACTGTCTTGAAAAGTGTCAATGATCTAAAATTACAAGCAACATATATGTCATAAAATCAAACAGATGACTACCATAACGAAGTAATATAATGCAATTATTCAAAGCACAGAACAACTCAAGCACTATACAGAGTGAGTATTAAGAAGCGACAATCAACTGAAAAGAGGGACTCCAACCTGAATTGGTTCAGTATTATGAGATCTACAATCCCAAGCACGCACAGAACGATCATACCCAGCTGATACAACAACAGATGAATACTCATTGAACTTCACCGCATTTACCTGGAAAAAAGAGGTTAAGAAGCTTTCCCATTCGTGAAGCAACATACAAATAAACATATCATAGGATGTTTACGCAAAGGTGGTAAAACTGTTCATTTCTTATAGGGACAGAGTGGAAATAGGACCAGTCAAATAGTAGCAAAATATATAACATACTACCTCCATTTCATATTATTTGCAACTTTGGCCAAAAATGGATGCTACCCATTATTTGCAACAAATGTTTTCTTTCTTTTTAGGTTGTCATTCCTCTCTATCTCTCTACTCATCACATGCATCCATAATTTTCTCACTCCATGTTACACTCACAAACAAATTTTGCCTAGGAGTCCGAGCAACCTCCAAAGTTGCAAATAATACGTAACGGAGGCTATCGTTAGATCAAGTGGGTAAGGACTAAACAACAAGATGGTTCTCATTACGCCAAGCTCACATGAGCTCAACAAATGCGTTAAAAAACATTCATTATCTAACAACTCCACATATTATTGCAATGAGAGAAGAATGACACACATCAACTCCACAGGAAAATCTGATGCTTCACAAGCAGATTTCTGCAACATAGACATTGAATCCCCTAACATAGTTCAATCGGTTGATCAAAGGGATGAACTGTGACCTCAAGCTTCAAATAACAATCCTCCAACACACAACACTGCTTTTCAAAACCCAGCATAAACGGTGTTATGACCAATACGAGAGGAATGGAGAAATACTTGTGATTTGTGTGAAGAACATGATCTGTTTATGATATAGTTCAAAAAAGTCATATCACTTTCCTACGTCTTCCTTCCATCTATAACTATAAGGTTCACATCAAATCAACAAACCACAAGACATTCTGATTCCACAACGCAACTTCAGTACTTTTACAGTGTTTTTGGATGGGATACTTTGGAGAGGAGAGGAAAGGAGGAGAGAGACGAATACATTTTCCCCGATTTGAATATAGTAATAAGGTCAGGTTAGAAAGATATCCTTCAGGGAAAGATATGGTAAAGAACTGCAAGCCCTCAACGCTCTCCTACATTCCCCTACTGTCCTTCAAATAATTGATTTGCACTTGATGCCAATTTTAAGGAGATACAAAACTAGTTCAGTCATAACCAAAAAAAGTTGTATAAAGTTTGTCTGTGAACTAACCTCACTATCATGTCCACGGAATTTGCGAATAACCCGGCCAGTAGATACATCCCAGTAAAATATTTGACGGTCACCGCCACATGAGACAATCTTTGAGTTGTCCCTGAAATAGACATTGATGATTGCTCAGCAAATCAAGTCAAGTGTGCATGTTACAGGACAGATAAATTCCTCACATCCAAGCTGAAAATGGTTTGAAACTTGTTAGAAATTTGGCAAATCCTCAATCATGCAAAAATCTTTTCCACAATTTCAGTTCTTATAAACACTTTTCTAAATGCACCAAGTTCCCTAGATCACAATCTGAAGTCCGAACACAGGCCTTCTCTGATGGGTGCTCATCCATTATTAAGATGTAGGCATTGCGTAGACAGAGAACAAGAATTGAAGTTAAATTGCTGGTTGCTGCTTTAAGGTTTATAAGTTAACAATAATGTCACCATTCAAGTGCCATATTTCATGGGTCACTGGGCAAAAGTTATAATTTCAACTCAACATGAAGGCTCACTATCTTTTGCTATCTATTTTGATCTTTACTTGTTTCAAGATAAGGGTTTGTATTGTTATGTTTTGTCAAGCTATATGGATCCTTAGCACTTAACTCCCAAATCATCATCAGGCCATTATAAAAAATATATACTCCGTATATATATTGCCCCTATACTCTGCCAACCTCTTCAAGTAAGCATATTAGTAATAGTGTTAACTACTCGATTACAAACACAAGCATCACTAATCGTTTATGATTTTGCAATCACAATTGCTAACTGAAAATATTGTACAGCACTGCACAAAAATATTCGTTACAGATAAGGTCAATAGCATTTTTATTAAAGATCAATAAGAACACAATCAAAACAATTCACAATTGACAAACCATCTAACTAATTGACACCATCTCCTTTCTCCCCCACTACCAATCATATAAGCTACCCTAATTCTAATCAAAACAATTAAAAGACATAAAATTACGGTAATGAACTCTAATATTGACACAGTGAAATATTACTTAGCTAGCAACAAGAATAGTTCTCCTTAGCTAGCAAACGGGCAATGTCCATTATAGCAACAAGAATACACTATAACTAGTTATCTACCTAGTAAATTAGGAAATAGCAGTATCATACTATGATTTGCATAACAAAGAATCAACAAACATAATGTATAACATCCCAAATTCATAAAACTAAAAAAAGATAATAACTTTGATAAAATCAACCAAAATAATAAAGAAAGAAAAAAGAGAGAAAGGGAGTAATATACGGGGTGACATGGACATCGCGAACTTCACGACCGTGAGATTTGTAGGATTTGATGTGAATACCACGGTGAGGATTCCAAAGGCGAATGGTACGGTCTTTGCCGCAACTCAGACAATAATTACCGTCGGCGTTGAAGCGGGCTGCTAAAACTGCGCCTTCGTGTCCCTTCAGCACGTTTGCCTCCTTCGTCGGTAACCCTTCCCCGCTCATTCTTTTTCACTCCTCCCTTCGATGTTTCCTGCCTTGTTGCTTCTTTCTTTTTCTTGTAAATGTTGTTAATCACGATATTACGCTCTTACCAAGTCGTCTGGGCGCTAATTACTCTTACGGTGTTTAGTTTGATTACTATAGATTAACAACAGCTAGCGTTTTACGACTTTTACCAATTGAGCTACCCTTATAATTTTTATCTTTCTTCTGAAGTAACCCGTCGAACTTCTTGGAATTTTTAAAATCTTTTTTATTGAGATTTCTTTGACGGATATCATAAGAGTGAGTGAAAATGTATTGATGTTGTAAATTACGAAGTATATATAGTTATCACACAACTTTAGATAGCATTATAAAAGTATTCAAAATACGTAGTAAGAATAATATTGCAATTTTAGTTTGGTAGCACGAGAAAGAAAGTTAAGTCAATTTTTAAGTACATAACAAGTTACCAATTTTCGGAAAAATAATGCGTAGAGGATTATCTTTGAAAGTTTTACAAACATTAAGAATTGAATCTCTAGAACATTAGCAATTGTTTGTAAATCTATACTTTCAAATTCAACTAGATACAACATAGAAAGTTTTTCATCCATGAAAATATATACCGAGTTTTGCCCACCATCACCCACCAACCCAAGCCCGCCTACAACCCTACCAGCCCAATCTGAGCGAAAACCAAAAGATGAAAAAAACAGTGGCTAACAATTGATGGTTTTTCAACTGAACATGAGTAAGAGAATACATGGGAGTATCAATAACAATGCTCAAGAAGTTAAGAGGGGCCATCAAGGTTTTTTACTATCAGAGACAATGGCATTGAAAGCAAGGATATGCGGTGATGTGTCAAAACTTCCAGCTCTTCGAGATTGCTCCGTCCCTAATTGACTCAAAGAAGCTTGCAGTTCTGAGCCCAAATTATTATAATCAGATTCAGCAGATTCATGAGAAAACCCATCGCTACCTCTCCTTTTGAGATCCTCAATCCCATAATAATCACGTCGTTGAGAAAGTTTCAGAATATCGTCGCCAATTTCCAGATCATCTTCCACTTTTGTTCGCCTGTCTTCACCAAATTCTTCAGCCACCTCAGGCATTGATCTCATGGGTATCCTTGGTGCCTCTTCTTGTATATATGCACGGAACTTGTTCTTTGAAGGCTGAATTTTTGAGCAGAACACTTCGAAGAAATTGGATATGCAACCACGGTCAAAAGCATTTCGCCTGTTGTCTGCTCTGTATCTGAAGTTTTCATATGTGGTCTGGGGAAAACGATGCAATTATGAAGTAGCTAAAAGCTAATTACCAAAATAAAACACAGACAAATCAATAATACCATGATACTTCTAATTTTATTCCTTTGGGTGGGAAAAGGGGGAGGGTGTCACATATGGTGCCAAATCTACAGCTTCGAAGACAAGGATTGCAGAAACAATCAATAACAGATCCCACGTATGAACAATGCCTGTTTCCTGATGTAGAAATCTAGCTTATAAAAAAAAAAAAAAAAAAAAAAAAAAAAAAAAAAAAAAAAAAAAAAAAAAAAAACTCATAATAGGAAACCAGTCTAAATGAAAGCACATCATACAAACAAGATCAGCCACTCAGAAGCCAGACTTCATACAGTTGGTACTTGAAAACCTATCACTGTCTAGCCAGAAAGGCAACGCCAAAAAAATTACATAAACCATGAAACAAGCGAATTGGAAAAGAGACGTGCAATAAAGAAAAAAAATGTAAAGAGGGATGTGAGATTTACCTGGTTCGTGCTTATCAGGTACAAATGGAAGCCGGTGAGACCCCCAACAAACCACAATGCAACAAAGCAGTAGGACATTAGCACAACTGAGGCTGGTGATTCTTTTATGGCCTTCCATACATTGTGATGCTCATCCACAAGAAATTTGATGTACAAAGCTGACAGTGTAAATACGAAGATGCAAAGAAGGGTTGCAGAAGATATGAACATAAAGAAGAAACGGTAGTTGCGCTGCAAAAATCAAGAAATACAGTGTCAAACAAAGCATCAAACATGTTATTAGAGGACAATAGAAAGAACATGGTCCCATTTTAAACAAACAAAGTAAATGCAATGAACTACTTGATGCATGATTTTCATAGGAAAAAGATTCCTAGGTCTTAGAAACAGCTCAAAATCAACCATCAAGAGTAGTTTACATGTGAATTGGGCAACAGTGTGTATATCTATATTCCCTAGTTTGCATCTTATAACCTTTCTTCGAGCATTTAAGGACAAAAATTAGCAACATAAATGTTAAACAATAACCTCCAGAGAGCTCTACACCAGATGCTCATATAGCACATCACGAAAAAAAAAAAAAAATTATCCAACTTCAACTCTATAAAGGGAAAAGAGAGGAGAGGAAGAAACTAGAGAGAGAGAGAGAGAGAGAGAGAGAGAGGTAGGGGGGATGAGAGTGAGGATAGAAGATATGGGAAAACGAAAAGGCAAGCAACAGTAGTGAACTAAGCAATTAAAAAATGGAAAATACAAATAAGACAAAATACGATTCCCACCCCCACCCACCACCCCCCCCCCCCCCAAAAAAAAAAAAAAAAAAAAAAAAAAAAAAAAAAAAAAAAAAGAGGTTCAATGAAAGGTCAATCCTGTCTCATTCATCAAAATAAGACAAAGCAGCAAATTGGCTAGACACCATACCAGGACATAACATCAACTTGGAGCCTTTCTCAAGGCTTTGACCTATGGGATAGTTTTTGAAGTTGGATGGATGCATCAACCAGCTCGGAGAATCTTTACTTTCGAATCATAACAGAAAACGCGACATTGCAGCTATACTTGAAGAAACTTGTGCAATGACCTTAACCATTTCAATTCTTCTAAAAAACTAGCATTTTCGATTTTATATATATATATATATATATATATATATATATATATATATATATATATATATATATATATATATATATATATATATATATATATATATATATATAATCATGGGAATTTGTTTTCATACCCAACTACACTACATCAGGTACTTTTAAGCAGTTTCATGGAAATTCAAGTATTACCAACAATAGCAAAGGGAGATTCATGTGTGAAAAACTTTATAACAACCATGAATCTTGAAAAAAGACGGATTACTGAGATTTTTCGCTGCATACCATTCCAATGCATTGCCCAACCCAAGGGCAATGGTGATCAAATTTCTCCACACAATTGTTGCATATTGAGCAATGAGAACAACGGGGTGGACGATATAGCATGCATGTTTCACAGTATTTCACCTTGACAGGAACACCGTTAACAAGGACTTCTTTGGTGCGAGGGAATTGCAGACTTGGTGTTGGCCTGCCGCCAGCCACTGAAGACTCATTGCAAAACTCTTCCTCTGGTGGATGTAAATTGCGAGGAATGATGCCTGGATCACGGGCTGAAGTAAATAAAAGAAGTACCAATACCTGTCATAATCAGCAGGGTAATAAAATCAACCAAAAATGCCACATTGCCAAAGGCACCCAAAAAAAAGAAAAAAAAAAAAAAAAGACTTCTATAACATTTGCAGCACTGACACAGAAACTTATAGATATAGAAATGGAAACAGAAACAAAACTGAAACCAGAAATGGTGAAATATTAACTCTCAACTCCACCACCCACACCCCCAAATCGACATGCTCTCTATCTCTGTTAATGCTGAATTAGTTCAACCACAAACAAAAGAATCTTACCACTGAAGTGGCTCTCTGAAATGATCAAAAGCCTCAGGTTCTCTACCAGTCACCTTTTAATTGATTACTCAGATTTCAGATCTACCACCTTTCTCTTATTGTAAACACTAAAACACTATATTGAGAACAAAAGGGAATGATTCCCGGACCCTCAGAGAAACGTGAGCAACCAGGGTCTTTCAAAGCTATCAAGTAAGCGTTTATTTTATTACTTTAATTTTTATTTTTTTTCATACTTAGGGATAAAAGTGCAATGTTCATTAACCTATATAATGCTTCAGGCACATTTCAAACCCATTATCCATCATTTTGTAACACCTGGACTCTTCCAAACTTCAGAGTCTAAGCATGCAGAGGGATATATATATATATATATATATATATATATATATATATATATATATATATATATATATATATATATATATATATATATATATATTCCAGATGAAAATATGAGCAGCAGGGAAGTGAAAGAGAAGAGCATGGTGTAAGTGAGTGTGCATGTGTGCATGCCAGAGCCTGTACCTGTGTCTGTGTCACAAACCAGTAAAGTCTATAGCCGAGTACCAAATCCAGGCAGATAGTTTAAAAGTCAGCCGAATAATGCTCAATTCAAACTGAAAATATGAGGACTCCTCCATGATAGATAGAGAATTCATTTAGACATGTTTTGCATCAAATAGTGATCATTTAAGCCTGAAAACATGTGCAGACCCCTACATTCTCAGACCCTCAAGGTACATTTGAATCATTGATTCAGCAAATGTTTCATCTCACTCAAACAAACTAGATAAATTAAGTGATTGGAATACAATCTAAAGCTTAAAATAACATAAATAAAAGTTTAGATGACTAACATAGATGGTAAAGATGATAGCTACCACCAGAATTGCATATCCAGCATTATACGTAGAGAACTTATGGAGAAGATGTCTTGCTACAAAGGTGCAAAAGATAACTGCAGGCACAAGTATAAGCAATACAGACACTGTAAGCGACCTAGCATCTGGTCCAAATATCAGCCTCCCACTGCATAAAAAAATCTGCAACAGACAAGAATACCCAACAATGCAGGGAAATAAAATGAAAGTTAGAGGGTCAACAAAGTAAAATAATTGGGTAGAAAAAATCCACTAGGTGAAGTAAGTATTGCATAAGATAGAATTCCAAAACATCAGGTGACAAGACATCCAGGAGTTCTACAAGATCCAATCTTAAAAAGAAACATGCAACACAGAGGACGGCATACATCTCCATAAGGGTAGTTACAAGAAAGACAGATACGTCAAAACAAGATGAATAAGCTATAATTTCATAAAAGAAGGCATATATGCTTGGAGTTTGAGTTCAAAAAAAAAAACTTAGAAGGGTTTTAGCAAGTTTATTTCAAATGGAGACAAATGATTTAATAATTTGTGGATTAAAAAAACTAAATATCATCCTATTAAAATGCTTGTGTTTTCATATATCATGAGTTGGCAAATGACTATTGCCTTTTAGATCTAAAGCCCAAAGAAAAACAACATTTCAATAGAAAAGGGGTAAAGCTACCTATATTTGACCTCACTTACCCTGAGTTCCAGAGTTTTTGATAATGCTGATGTTGTATATGTAAATATGTTTAAGGGAATTACTCAAACTTGGGTCTAACAGAACGTTAAAGCATACCAATCATACATATTTACGATACTATGAAACATCGTATACCTTAAGCTCTAGCACTAAAGTCTAGCCTACATCAGCAATTTGGCCACCTAGTTCTTTTAATTAATGGGATGATAGGAGGCATATTCCTTTGAGCAAGACCACTATATGGTACAAACTGCGGCCCCATATGGCACAATCACAATGGTGGTAGTTGAAACATTTGGTAGCCGAGTACCAAATCCAAGCAAATAGTTTAAAAGTCTGATACTTGAATTAATAATTATAGTATAATATAGATATGGATCCAACTATTTAAATCTAAGGTATCCTTGTCTCTATTTAGCTATTCCTTGTACTATGTCTTAGTTCTACTCACAAATTGAAACTTTTCCCTCCTGTAAGCTCTCTAAATTAACAGCTTATACTTGGTTGCCTATCAAGTATCAAGTAATTGTCTAGATTGCCTATCAAGTATCAAGTTCAACTCTGACTAATATACATAGTTGATGAACCCGCAATTTGCTTCCTCATCTGAACTTTGGATGGGATGAATTAAAAGCGAGAGCTGGTTTTGATGGTGTTCTTGGGTACCTTTCCAAAATTATTTATAATGGATAATTGGCTTGTAGCAGACAAAAGCTACATACTCAGTTACTCACATGGTAATACACCAACATGGCAAGTCATGCTAATGAAAACCTTCTATACAGAAAAAAGGAAAGTGACATGTGATGAATTCCTGTAATAGGGGAAATTAGTTAGTTACAATCTGTAATTAGTGCGCCAGGTTGTTAGAGATATTTTTAGATATTTCTAAGTCTTTTACAGGATATAAATACCTGTTATCATTGTAAAAAAATTCATTCATTCTGGGAAATAAAATCCTCTTTCTTCTTCCTTAGTTTTCTCTCTGCAAAACCTTGTACTCTTCTGTTATCATTGTAAAAAAATTCATTCATTCTGGGAAATAAAATCTTCTTTCTTCTTCCTTAGTTTTCTCTCTGCAAAACCTTGTACTCTTCTCAGCTAATCAATGGAGTTTCTTCATTGAATTCACTAACTACTTAGTGAATTAGAGTGAGACTCCAGTTTACATCTCATGTACTGTTACATTGGTATCAGAGCCAGACCATTTCAAGAGTTCCAATCTCTTGAAAATACCCGATTCCATTGAAAATTGAGCTGAAATTCAATTTTTCTTTTGAAGTTTTGATTCTTGAAATTGAATTCTGGCGCCAAATACTGTCAAAAGAATGGTGTCGGTCGAGCAACAAGTTAAGGAGCTTGAATTACGAATGGGTGAGCAGCAGAAAAATAGCTCAATTTTTCAAGAACGGGTGTTGAAGATGATGCAAGATTTGAGTGCGAAATTGGATGAAGTTGGTCGGAAATCGCCTCAAACAACTCCAGTTTCATCTCCAAAATCTCCTGAGTCAGGGTTCAATCCAACCAGAACTCTTGGGTATGTTCCTAAACTTGAGTTCCCTAAATTTGATGGAACAAATTGTAGAATGTGGGTTAAGAAATGCAACAAGTACTTTAAATTGTGCAAGATTAGTGATGAACAGAAAGTAGATCTTGCTAGTTTGAATATGATTGACAAGGCTGAAGTATGGGTAACTAGTTATTTGGCTGCGAGGAGTAATGTTGATTGGACTGAATTTGTAATTGACTTCTGCTAGATTTAAAGATTCTGATAATGCTGTAGAAAATGTTAATAAATTGCAGCAAGTGGGTACAATTGAATCTTATGTTGATGACTTTGAGGAATTGAAATCTTTGATGTTGCAACAAAACCATGGGTTAACTGATTCATACTTCCTTGCAAGCTTTATTGGGGGTTTGAAACCTACAGTTAAGCCCTTTGCTAAGGCTTTTTAGCCTAATACTCTGGCAGAAGCTGTTGAGTTTGCTAGATTACAGGAAGAAAGCTTAGAAGCAGCTAAGAATATGGGTAAATCCTATACTTCTTATGGTGTTAAGACTTCCTTACCTGCTTCTTCCAACTCAAAACCCAGCACTGTAAATTCCAGAGCCATGGTTCCTTACCAGCCTAGTAAAATTTCTCAAAAGCCCCATACCACCCTTACTGCAGCAAAGAGAAGGGAAAAACAACTCAAGGGGTTGTGCTACTTTTGTGATCAACCTTATGAGAGGAATCATAAATGCCCACATAAACAAACCCAACTGTTTCTAGTTGAAATACCTGGAGAAGATGAAAGTGATGGGGAGGATATGGCATAAGTTGATCATACCTTAGGTAATGATCTGGAGAATGTGGAACCTCATATCGAAGTAGCAAAGCGGTTGGGGTTACAGAGAGTATTTCTCCTCAGGCTGTCACTGTTGTAGATGGGAATCATTTGGCATGTCAGAGTGTGTGTAAGGATTTTGTTTGGTCACTACAGCATACAGAATTCAAATCTGATATGCTTCTTATTCCTTTAGGAAGCTGTGATATGGTTCTTGGAGTGCAGTGGCTTGGTACACTTGGGATTGTAAGTCGGAATTTCAAGAAGCTGGTTATGGAATTTGATTATCATGGTGAACATCATGTCTTACAGGGTGAGAAACCTAAAAGACCTGTTGTTGCTATGAGTCAGAAGTCTGAGAAGTTGTTCAGTCAAGCGCAGCTATATTTCCTAACACTTCTAGCATTTAAAGACCTGTTGTTGCTATGAGTCAGAAGTCTGAGAAGTTGTTCAGTCAACCAGTGCAACTATATTTCCTACAGCTAGCATCAGAACTAGACACTTCTAGCATTTTTTGCTGTAATGCTGAAGTTTCTGATGTTCCTGCTACTGTGGCTAGCTAACCTTTTGCAAGAATACAAAGACATTTTTGAAGAACCTAAATCTCTTCCACCTAGCAGGGGTGTTTTTTATCATAGAATTCCCGTGGAATTTGGAGCAAATCCAGTGAGTATCAGGCCTTACAGGTATCCTTTGGCTCAAAGGGATATCATTGAAAAGCTTGTTCAGAATAATTCAAGAATAATTCAAGATAGCTGCAGCCCTTTTGCTTCTCCAGTTGTTTTGGAGGGGAAAAAAGATGGAACTTGGAGGTTATGTGTGGATTATAGGTCGCTTAATAAGAAGACAGTGAAGGACAAGTTTCCTGAAGTAGATGAGCTTATTGATGAGTAAGCAAGCTCTTGGGTGTTTAGTAAGATTGACTTAAGGGCCGGTTATCATCAATTGAGGTTTAATGATTGTGATGTGTTCAAGACTGCATTTAAAACCCATAATGGTCATTATGAGTTTTTAGTAATGCCATTTGGGCTTACTAATGCTCCAGCTTCCATTCAAGGTTGGATGAATCACATCTTCAGGCCACTTCTCATAAAGTGTGTACTGGTCTTTTTTGATGACATATTGATCTATAGCAAGTCTTTCCAAGAGCACTTGGTTCACCTTAAAGTTGTTTTTGATTTGATGAAGCAGCATACCTTATATGCAAAGATGAGTAAATGTTGTTTTGCTATTGATAAGGTTGAATATTTGGGTCATTTTATCTCTGAATGAGGGTGGAAACTGATCCTAGGAAGATTGAAGCTGTTAGAAATTGGCCAATCCCTAAGAATGTTAAGAAATTGAGAAGTTTTCTGGGGTTGGCAGGATATTATAGAAAGTTTGTTAGAGGTTATGGCTATATTAGCAAACCTTTAACTCAATTATTAAAGAAGGGAGAGTTCAATTGGGGTGATACACAGCAGCAAGCTTTTGAAGAATTGAAGACAGCTTGGAGTTTAGCTCCAGTTTTAGCTCATTTTTCAAAACCATTTGAGGTTGAAACTGATGCTTCAAATAAAGGTATTGGAGCAATTTTGATGCAAGCTGGTCATCCCTTAGCATTTTTCATCAAGGCATTGGGTCCAAGATGGCAAAAATTGTCTGTCTATGAAAAAGAACTACTGGTTGTAGTCACTGCTATTCAGAAATGGGAGCAGTATTTAACGGGGCAGCATTTTATCATTAGAATTGATCACAAAAATCTCAAGTGGCTTTTGCAACAGAAAATTTCAACCCCATTTCAACAATTATGGCTGTCTAAACTTACGGGATTCAGTTATGAGATTGTGTACAGGAAAGATGCCTTATCAAGGGTATCTGGTGCAGAATTGTTGTGTATGGCATTGACAGTACTTGATTCAAATTTGGCACAAAAACTAAAGGACAGCTATGAGCTGAACATTGCTGCTTTGTTTCAGTCACTTTCTCAAGGCAATGCAACTCCTCACTATGCTATTCAAGATGGGTTGTTGAGAAGAAAAGGGAAGCTGGTGGTGGGACCAGATGATGAGCTGAAAGTAGCAATCCTTCAATGGTTACACATCTCTAGACAGGGTGGACATTAAGGTAGAGATGCTACTTTGGTGCAAGTTAAAGGGTTATTCTATTGGAAGGGAATGACTACCTTTGTAACTCACTTTGTGACAAATTGTTTAGTCTGTCATGCTGCTAGTCCTGGTCTATTGCAACTGCCATTTCTTTGGGTTGATATTTCCATGGACTTTATTGGAGGGTTACCTGTCTCTTTTGGGAAAAATGTCATCTTTGTTGTGGTTGACAAATTCAGCAAGTATGCCCATTTTATGGCTTTATCTCACCCATATACAGCATTGGAAGTAGCCCACGTTTATCTTGATGGTGTGTTCATGTTACATGGTTGGCCTAGATCTATAGTCAGTGAAAGGGATGCAGTATTTTTAAGCAACTTCTGGAAAGCTTTGTTTAAATTACAGGGCACTGAGTTGCTATAATCTTCAGCTTACCACGACAGATGGTCAGCCGAAAGAGTAAATAAGTGTTTAGAGACCTATATGAGGTGCATGTCCAGTGAATGTCCTAAGAATTGGAGTAAATGGCTACCATTAGCTGAATGGTGGTACAATACAACTTTTCACACTTCTTAGACTACCTTATATAAGATTGTGTACAATTAACCACCACCTCTGCACTTGCCATATCTGTTGATAGGTCCTTCCAGAAAAGGGAAGAAATGTTGCAAAGAGTGAAATTTCATTTGAGAAGGGCTCAGGACAGGATTCTCAAGCTTCTCAAGCTGATAAGAAGAGAAGTGACAGAGAATTTGTTGTAGGAAATTGGGTTTGGCTGAAACTGCAAGCCTATAAACAGAAGACTCTTAGGCATGGATCACATGAAAAGCTGTCCTCGAAGTTCTATGGCCCATTTCAGATTGCTAAAACTATTGGGAAGGTGGCTTATAAGCTGAAGTTACCTCAGGATGCTCAAATACATCCAGTTTTTCATGTTTCTCAATTAAAGAAGTTTAAAGGAGTGATCCCTGCACTTGCTCACATTCCTTCATGGTTGCATGGTATGAATGAAGAAGAAGAATGGGAACCTGAGACTATTCTAGAAAGAAGAACTGTTAAGCATCATAATCGAGCTGCTGTCCTATCTGGTCAAATGGAAGAATTGTCCTGCTTAAGAGTCAACTTGGGAATTTGCTGAAATTTTTGAGGCCATATTTCCTGACTTTGTAGTTCAAACATGGGGCAAGTTTGTTTTCAACAGGGGTGCATTGTAATAGGGGGAATTAGTTAGTTACAATCTGTAATTAGTACGCCAGGTTGTTAGAGATATTTTTAGATATTTCTAAGTCACCTGTTATCATTGTAAGAAAATTCATTCATTCTGGGAAATAAAATCCTGTTTCTTCTTCCTTAGTTTTCTCTCTGCAAAACCTTGTACTCTTCTCAGCTCATCAATGGAGTTTCTTCATTGAATTCGCTAACTACTTAGTGAATTAGAGTGAGATTCCAGTTCACATCTCGTGTACTGTTACAATTCCCACATCCAATGTCCTTTACTCATTTGAATGTTATAATTGTTGAGTTTATTTCTTACCACACTTGTCTTGATATGCACAATACAATAAAGGAAATAAATCAGCAGATAGCAATCACACAATAAGCAAATCATATGAACAAGGGGTGTGATTGTAGCTGTAAACATTGAACCCTATTTCAACAGTTAGACTTAGACAGTACGAACTAAAGCCAGAAAAGGTGGTACAGGGGGATGATCAATTTATCCAGTAACAAGGAGAAATCCATGTCTACTTTTAAAATGACAACTTTGTGTAAAAGTCATTGTTACACAAAATCCCTCGGAAATCATCAGCAACATTTCCATTCAGTGTTATAGCTACCCCATCATCACTTCAAAATCCACTCAGATCCCACCCAAAGCCAATATCTACCCAAAATTCCCCTTATAAAAATAATTATTTGACAATTATAGGGGTTCCTCCCAATCGCTGCACCCTAAGACTACCCAGTTCATAATCACCCATCAAAAAGGGTAAATTAAGTCAAACCCAGATCAAATTACACGAAATTATACACACCCAGATCAAATTTACACGTAAATTGTGGTCAAAAGCAGAGATCAAAAGGTTCCAATTGACGCCAGCTCATCAAAATCCAGTAACCCAAGTTACAAAATCAGTAGATAAGATTACAAATTAAGGAATACCCAGATAAATTATCATCAAATTAAGACAACCCATCAACAATTAAGGCAAAATTAAGCAAGAATTTTCAAAATAACAATTAAAAAACAGAGAAAAAACAATCTTACATTGCTTCCTTTCCAAGCTTGATAAACCCGCTTAGCCATCAGAAAAGAAGAAAATCAGTAAGAAATAGACCAATAGAGAATCGAAGATTCGTAACTTGTTGTTGGTGGTAGCTTCTGCTCATTCTTCAGAGTCTTGGAAGTCGTGAAAAGAGGAGAGAAAGGCGGTTTAAGGGTTCAAAAAAATATGCGCTGAAAATTATAGTAATTGATTGATTTGAGGACAGTAATGAGTTTGCTCTGTTGCCTTTGAGACTATCTGCTTTTTCCACTCTTTCCAATATTTATTTTTTAAATTTTTATTAATTTTTAAATTAGGGAATAACATTAATATAAAATCTATTGGAAAAAAAGGGGGAAGAATGTTTTTGGAGGATAAAAAATGGGATTATAATACTGTATGGGTGTAAAATTAACAAATAATGATGTTAATGAATTAATAATACAGTCTGTTATGATAGTTGTAAAGACGGTTTTGCCCTTTGGTTGTGTGCTTGTTTGGTGGGGTAACTATGGTGGAAAGATGATTTGAACAGAAGGCATTTTAGGAAAATAGTTTGTATTATCTGGTTTGCATTGAGTAGACAGTTGTCATTGAGGTTTGTGGAAATGTTTGCCCATGGCTATGGCCAATTGGCCATCAATGCTTGGGTTGAATATTTATTATATTCAAAATTAAAAAAAAATGATACTTGTAACAATAATTCCATTTTGAGTATGGCGAGCAAATTTCAGATCGGATGTTATTTACATTATCAAATATAGCAAGTATCACATTTACAATCATACTAGTTTTAAATTTGAGTTGAATGTTTTGTTACACCTTCTAAATGTTGTTGTTTCTCAATTTTCACACTTGCATAGTTGATTATACACACATAGTTATTGTATGTAACTATGTATACAAAGTTGAGATGTCAAAAAGTGATTTGACGTGAGAAATAAGTTGTAACCAATCACAGGGGATATATGATAAATTGGGCTTTCGAAACCACCCTCAACCAATCCAATGTTAACGCACATCTAATGAAACCTGCAAATTTAAAATTTGAATATGAGAAAACTCAACACTTGATCTAGATCCAATGACTTTAATTCGAACCAAGCCTACAAACAACTAGATAACAACCAAAATCTCAATTTGACCTAATAAAAATTGCAATTGATCCATGGAGGAAAAAAAAAAAAAAAACCACAAGTTGAAGTGGATGGGGATAATAGAGAGATTTGTATTATACACCTTTTAAAAAAATGTACTCGTGAATGTTACCGTGAAATCATGATTATTAATGTTAAGTTGAAATCTCGTTGAATCGTATGTTATAATAATTGAGCACTCAATTATACCCACCATGGATATATTTGGTTTTAATTTACGCAAGCAATGTTGTAACTTGTAATAATTAAACCTTAAATAGATTGTTAACAAAAAAAAATATTAAAATTAACCTATAACAATCAACTCATTCTTTATAAAATTGTAACACACTTATAGTATTAATCAACCTTGGGAACTACTGCGGGTCGTTTGGTTTGTTGAACTAAAATACATTAGTATGAAATCTTAACTAGGGAGGTATGCATACTAAATCCCATAATAGTTTGAAGTTGTCTGGGTTTATACGTTGAGAATTGTTTTTACTTTTAATCTAAGGAATGAAATGTGACTCTTAGGGAGTGGGTATGAGATTCTAAGGAGATGGGGTGGAATAAATGACCTAGCCAAACAATAGAATAAATGGAATGAATTTTAACTCCATTCAAATCAATTTCAAAGGATTCAGACACACAAACCCTAAAAGTGACATTTCAATAAATAATTTGTGCGGAGTATAACTTAATTCAAATCTCAAATAATCTTCACACAAGTTTCCTTAGGCAATGCATGAAACTTTATTCAACTTCAGCTTTCTTACAGAGTAATGAAATATTACTCCTTCTGTTTTTTTAAGTGTTACACTTATCAAATGCGACCTTGTTTTTTTTTTTTTTTTTTGTTTTTTTTTTTCATTCTATCTAGTAAAGAATTACATTTTAATATTATTTTTCTCTCCTCCCATACTTTCCACTCATACCCACTACTACATTTTTTTATTATTATTTCTTTCTTTTAATACATTACTTTTCAATAAACCTATAATTTTTAAAAAATCCAATTACCCCACTTAGCTCTTATTTTATTTAAGTTAATTAAATTACCTAAAATTATACATCGATGAAGATGTAACACTTAAAAAAAACACGGTGAGAGAATACCTACAAACAACCTTTTTTACGAAAAAGAAAAAAAGAAGAAAAAAAGAAGGAAAAAAAAAAGTGGGCCATGTAGACTGGTCTAATGATCCCCACAAGCCACAATCCTACATAAGCTAGTGAAGTTGGCCCAAAATCAGCAAACCTTTAAATAAAACTCCTACAACAAATCACAACCGTTAAAATCTCACACTCTCACAATCCTTAAAAACCCTATCACCTTCATCAATGACCTCTCTATTTAACGCCGTACTTCAACTCTCTATCTCTAATCACTCTTTCTCCGTTTCATCATTCTTCTTCCCTTAATTTTCAATTTTAAATTTGAATGGTATTGCTATATTTTTCTGTAAAAATTAAATTAATAAAGGTTGATGGTGATGAATCAAAAGGCTTGTTTCTCAAGACATTCGCAGTGGCCGCCTGAGAGTTTCCTCTTTCGCCGGGGTTGAGACTATTGCTGCTTTTCTCCTTCCTTGGATGTCTGAAACCTTTACTCTTTTTCTTTTTTAAAAAAATTATTTCATTATTTTATCTTTAACAGGAAATTATATTATTATGAATGAGGACTAAACGTCTGCCTCTTAAGCATTAAAAATTAAATAATTAATTTTATTTTATTTTTAAGAAATTGCTCAAGGGATGGAACGAAGTCCTCAAATTAAAAATCATCCGTCACTTTGTCAGCAGATTTCTCTCTTTTCTTGCTGATCATACAAGATGACACATTTTCTTTCGTTAAATCTTTTAAAGGAGTATTTTATTTTGTGTCTTTGAAAATTATTAATAGGTGCGTTATATACTAATGTGAGTTGGACTAGAAACCTGTGAATAATAAACGGAAGGCTAATAATGAATTACGGAGTTATACAAAAGTGAATTAAAATACTTCTTCGATGTCAAAAAAAAAAAATAATTCTTCCGTTTATAATGATTTTTAATACAAAGTACTATATTTATGAACCTTATTTTGATGATAAAAGGACTAATCAACATACTACTCACAATTTCTATTGCACCCTCGGAGTACATGCTCACGGTACTCCGGGATTAAAACAACAACGTTATTAAAAAAATAATAAAATAGATATGCATAAACGGGGAAAATGAGAGAGAAAGTGCGATAAAAATTAGGGATTATAAAACCCTAAATCACTAAATTGAGATGAGGAAAAAGAAAAAAAAAAATAGAGAGAAACTTAAAAAGCATATCTGAATGCCATTAATGATGGCGGATTGAAGAAGAAAATAAGTGCGAAGAAGACAATCAAACAAAAGCAACAAAAAATAATATTTAGTAAAAATAATTTCATTTCAGTAAAATTAACTTTAATTCAACAAAATAAGGCAGTTCAAAAAACTTAATTTCAGTTCAATAAAAATAATTTCATTTTAGCAAAAATCAGTAACTCTAAAGAAGAAGTGAATGACGCCTAAATGTATAAAATAACATTAAATTATTGAAAGAATAACATAAGGTTATATACAAAGTAACACAATACAGAGTTATAACAATATAAATAACACGATTTAGTAACATAATTATATTTATCAAAATAACATATGGTGTCTGTAAAAACGCAATTGAATAACAAAAGCCTAAGAAACAAAATAACATTAGGTTTCAAGTAAAATAATTTCATTTAATTTACAAAATAACATTCACCCCCACTACTTCCAAAGACTAAAATAACATAAATTAAACACAAAATAACATAAGATCTAAAGAAGAGTAACATCATCATGAGATAACAATAGCCTAAAATCAAAATATAGAAGCGAAATTTGTTTATCTCCTTTTTTCATCTTCATCTACTACATCATATCTCCATGTATTAATTGCATTTAGATTTTAAAAAATACAAAAATTATCACAAATTCAACACTAATTAGCAAAATCATTTACAATTATTCAAAAACTTACTTCATGTATTAATTTATGTTAGTTTTGGGCTTGTTTGAGTAGAAATTTTGTCTTCAATGGATGCAATTGAAGATTTTTCACTCCATTTCAAATGGAGAAACTGTAATTTCAAACGGAGAGAGAAAAAAGAAAAGTGAGTGGGGAGAGAAATAAAATGGTTTGATTTATGGTCCGTCTTTCTTATGTACTCCCTCCATCCCTTTATTTTTTGCCCCATTTGCCAAAAGTGGTAGTCCCTTATTTTTTGCACCATTCTATTTTGAGCCATGGTCTCATCTTCTTGACTACTCCTAATATTTGTTTAGCCCACTACATCAGCCTTTTTTTTTTTTTTTTTTTTTTTTTTTACTTTCCTAATCTCCTTTTACCTACTAATAAGCCATTCTCTCTCCTCAATTGATTTGGCTTCTCTCTCTTCCATCATCATCTTTCTTCTTCATACAGTACAACCCAACCTTCTTCTCTCTCCTCTCCATTTATTATTTTCTGGATACTTCCTCTACTATTAATTTCACTCTTATCTCCCCAACTATCTTACTGTAGTCAATATTTATAAAATTGAAATCCCTAAAACAAAAATCTACAATTTAGGAACACTCTCTTCCGGCTGGTACTTCTTCTGGGTTTTTATTTTGTTTTTCATTTTTAGCAAAGGTTTGATTTTTCAGTTTGATTTTACCGTCAAAAATTCTTACGAAGGTTTTTTGGCAATTCTTTTACTATAATTAATTTCAACACAAACTTCGAATATTTTGTGGTGTTTAAGTTCTAGATCTGATTACAAATGAGCTTCAATGGTATGAGTGAGTTTGATTCGAAATTAAATGACGAGGATTATGAATTCTTGAAGCAAAAACTTTTTTTAAATCATACCCCTACCTTAAACAACTCCGATGATGACAAAGAGGAGTTTATCCCCAACACCCCTGCAGCCACCATGACTAGGACGCCACCTCCAACCCTGCTTCAGGTGCCGGAGACACCATTGTGCAGCATGCAGTCTGCCCGACCACCAAGCTTTACCAAAGGGGCAGCAGTTCTATCCCTTCTAGAAGGCTGGGGTGAATAGATCTAGGGGTTTAAAAAGGACTATCGACTTTGGTACTTTTGCTATAGAGGACAATTGTGATGGTGTTGAGACCCAAAGGCCAAAGAATATCTTCCCCGACCAAAAACCTGAAATTGGAGGTGAAATGCTTCGATTTCTATGTCCTCTATATTTCTCTCACCCTAAAAAATCCAGATAAGCTATTATTTGTGTCTTCTTAGTTTAAATCTTTTAATTATCCTAAGATTTTATAATTTTTTTTGGCTATTAAGTTACTTATCACGTTGGAGTAGTGTGTATTTATGTAGTTGTACTCTGTTTGTTTAATGTTGTGAGTTTGGTATATATGTTTATGTGTTAGTGTATGGTTATTGTAAGGTGGAGTATTATATGTAATGTGTATGTTAACTCTAATTTAAAAGGAGTAATGATCCTAGTTTTATTTTGTAAGGTGGTTCATTTTATCGTATAAATCGATGCAGTATAATTTAGAGAGAGACTACATTTGACAATGAGAAGGTTCCAGTTGCTAGAATTTTATTGTTCTTTAAGTAGAATTTTATTGTTCATTAAGTAGAATTATTAAGTAGAATTATGATAATACTTCAGATTCTTTGACCTTATTATAATGTATATGCATTTCATTTCTATTACTATTTTTAGTTTTCCTTATATTAGTTGCTATATATGAAAAAAAAAACCCTATGATGAGTATGTGCATAATCTACTATGGGGGAGGTGGCGTGTAGCTTATGTGATGCCACTCCATCTGTTTTGATGTTTGATGAGGCACGATTAAGCTATAATACGAGGGATTTAAAGCAATAACTTAAACACGTTTTTTTGCCACTCCATCTTATAGGATGTTTGATGAGGCAATGCGATGCTAGAAGTAAAACGTATTTCCTTTGTGCCACTCCATCATATAGATTTTTGATGAGGCAATGTGTTGCAATGTTGTTGCCACCAGGGGCAGACCCACGTGTAGTCATAGTGTGTCACAGGGCAACCTATTATTTTATAAAAAAATTAAACACTAAATGTCAAGAAGTTCAGCTTGCAGCCTAGTGGTTTTTTTACCACCCATCACAAGCGAGATGTGGGTTCAAACCCCATTACTGACATTTTATTTCTTTTTTCTGCTTTATAACCTCACACCCAATTTTCAACATTTAGAAATTAAAACTAAGGATTCAGAACATTTTCCCCAAATTGTAAAACCCTAAGTCTCTAACTCCCCTAAATCGAAATCCCCAAACCCTACCCGCAGGCCCGTAGCCCCGCCACCGTTCACCGGCCAGTTTAAGCTCCGTACTCCGTCACTCCATGTTCTCACCGTCGCCAATATAAGGTTCGTCCGTCAATGTCAATCCGTGGCTCATACTTTGTGGAAAATCAATACTTTGATGTATGTTGCTCAATTACAATCCATTGTCGCTTCTGCTGCTCACAAATCTCCCGATCTTCTTCTCTGTTTTGATCTTCACTCCGATCTCATTTCCGCCATTAATGACGAACCTAAGGTTCCATTTCTTAATTTTTTTTCTCCTTTTTATCTTTTTTCTACTTGATTAGATCTATGTTGCTGCTAATTGTTCAAAATCATGGAATTTCAGCACGTTTAAGTTTATATTGCAATCAATTTAATTATTTTTAGGTTGTTTAAGTTGAATTTTGAGAATTCTAGTTGCAAATTATACTGGCATTTGGATTGTTTTAGAGAATTATTAAGTTTTGATTGGGAATTCTTGCTTAAATTATGAATGGGCTTGATATGGATTGAATTAGGAACCTATTATGTATTTATGTTATGGCAAAGAAAATGTGAAGATGCATTGTTTTCGCTGCTGTTTTTGGGTGGGCGGAGGTCGGTGCGGCACTTGACATAGTTAGCTATGGTTATAATTATCTGGAAAGGAGATCCTAGTTCGATATACTCAAGGGCTAGTGCTCTTCAAGGGTTTCTTGCTGACCATTCACATGCAGGAGGGTGGTTTTGGTGGTGGTGTAGGAGGAGGGGGTGGTTGTTGGGGCTCGGCTGGGAAGTGGCTGTTGGGCTGGGTGGGGAATTGTTTAATTAATTTTTTTTAGGAAAAAATAGACCATTCACATGCAGACACGTGTCAAGTAACCTGCTTTTTTGTTTTATGTATTTTTTTTGCTAATCATAGAAGCTTTGACTATTTTTTAATATTATATACGGTCGATAGACGATGATGGGACAACCTATTACTCAAATCCTGGATCCGCCACTGGTTGCCACCCCCATGATGATTACACTACTATGATTAAAAACATATTTGAGTTTTGTATTGTGAGTTTTTCTTCCACTGTTGTGAACATACATACATTGAACTAATAGTAAAAGTAGTCAACTTCGATAAGTGGGTTCATTTATAATTACAAAATACATTTATAATTGCTCCTTATCAACTAAGGCTAGTTAATAAATTGCATAATTGCAACTTTTTCACTTCACAAAAGTACATCCAATCCCTATCCACATTAGACAAAGTGGTACTTTTTCTAATGATCAAGTAGTAATGATCATAAGTATTGTACGCTACATATTTTAACCATCTACTAACCGTTAACTAATCTGAAACTTTACTACTAATTTGTACAACAAAAAAAAATCTTGATATGTTTTCATAATTTGCATTCTTTATCTTATGGAATAACATTCCACTGCCTGAGTTACCTGATATGTATCACGGTCTGGAAATGCGCTGCATCATACCTTCCAATTCATCAACTTGCATAGACGTTTCCACCATGATTGAGATATAACTTTCCTGTGGAATATGCTCTGTTTCTGCTTCTGCCCTTTCATTTGTGTGCTAAATAATTGTTATTAATCCATGTAAAATCATGTGTTGTTGCAGCAAAGATGTCATACTTTCTTTTAGCAACTGAATTGGCACTTCTATGTAAGTTGGCAAATTGACTTCTCTTTCCATCCTTTCCTTTGCATGATGTGGTTGTATATAATTATTTGAACCATGCACCATCATTATCTCAAGCATGCAATATTGTAGGCTTAGAAACACATGATTTACTTTACGAGGCTCGAAAATTTCATAAGCAAACTTGACAACACTTACTAGCTCGTCTACGTTTCTAGGGGCTTGTTAATGTTGAATTGCTTGAATAGCATGAAAGAACCCTAAGTCGAGAACATTTAAGTCCGAACTGTTTGGGGGTTGTGCTATAAGATGTATGTTGAAACCATCTATGTTTGTTGTGTTTCTGAATTCAATGTCATGTAGTTGCAAATGTGGTGTAACATTATCTTGCTGAACCCAAATGGTTCCACACGCATAAATTAGCCAATTTTCCTTGACTGGGGAAGCAATTTCTCAATAAATAACTTTCTTATAACTGATTGTGTAATATACTTGATTGGTTTTGTCTCCAAAGTGCCGGCCACTCTATGTATGCTAGATCGCTTCGCTGGAATCACTTCTGTCAGTGGGAAACATCCTAACTTTCCATCAAACAAACATTCACCATCTGGTCAATGATCTGCTCTTGACAATTCTACCTCAAACATGACTTTGGTATCGTACCTTTTGGACTTACAATTTCGGTAAGGATGTACTTCATTCAGTGCCAAATAAAATGTTTGTGAGTTTTTTGACATAAAAAACCATTTCTCGTCAATATGTACCATGTTATACATATCTCCAAATCGAGGTTTGGTATTAATTGTGCTTGGAATTACTTGTTGCATGTACCATCGTAGCCTTTGTATCTTATTCACAGCCGTGAGTGTTGATTTGATTGCATTACTATGCCTCAAGATTTTGCCTTTTTTTTTTACAAACCTCCCAATTGTTGGTTTATTTATTTTTATTGCTGAAGCTACTGACCTAATGTTCCCCCTTTTTTTCAAAGGGACTGCCATCAATTGTTCAACATTCAAATGAATTGGTTTCTGCCAACCTTACCTTTTTGGTTCGTGCTGATTTTGATGCTTTGGTTCAACCAAACACTCAAATTTACATGGTTCCATATCCTTGCAAAGTCCACCTACTAACACCATGAATGTGGGAAAGTTTAGTAATTGTCCCTGGTGGTAGCTTGAGGTTTGTTGCTGCATGTAGGAGGCTCTCTATGCACACCTTCCTTTCGACATCTTTCATGTCTTTCCTGCGTTCATGTTGTTCAGTTGTTGCCTGAGATGTTTCTTGAGATGTAGCCTGAATATAGTTGTCACTCGAGTTGTTGCCTGAGATGTAGCCTGAATATAGTTGTCACTTGAGTTGTTGCAAAAATGAAGCTAAGAAAATCAGTCGTTTCCATGTCGAAATTTGGCATCAATAAAAAGTAGCCTGAATTACTTGATGATGAAATAACTGAGAGTAATACCCTCTCCTTCCCCTTCCCCTATTTAATGATCCTTTTTTTTTTTCTTTAAATTTTACTATACTCTCTTCTTTAATGTGTTCTCAGGTGGTGAAAAAATAAAAGGAGCAAAAGAAATAAGGGTTATATATATACTGCCATGCTTTTGGTAAAAGAGGGAAAATATTCCCTCCAAAATTTTGGAGTGATTGAAAAATGTACTATGCAAAAATTTGAAATATTTGGGAATTTGTACAGTAACATGAGTTGGTGGAAAATTTCTTTCACTTTTTATTATTCCCCCTACGTGATGATCAGTATATATAATGTTACTTTCTCTTTCTCTACATTTCCTTAATTAATTCCACTCAATTTCCTAGGGACCACATCCAATTCCATTCCCTTGGCATTTCTTAATAAAGCAGATATGTTGGATGGGGCAAAATAAACGGGACAGAGGGAGTATAATTTAAGTTATTTCATTTTCTCTATTTGTTATTTCGTAAAATGAAATTTCGCATTCGCTTATTTTAGTTGGGTTTTTAGCCCATTGATTTAGATTGGGCCTGGAGTACAATATTAGGTACTCCAGGAGTACCGTATAGTCGTATACTAATTCCATACTACTAACATTATCGTACTCATAATATATTGTTGAATGGGAATTGAGATTTGGCAAACAGATGTTATGAGAAACAAACATATAGTTAACCAGACCTATACTGGTATATTTCGTTCAATGCATCAAATATTGAAAAACTCTTGGCTAGCTCGATAAGCACCCCTTCTTGAAGACTAATGTTATATACTTATATAATACCCTTATGGTGAAATTCTCAATAAACCAAGATTAGTATTCTTTAAAATTGAAATTTGTGACTTAATACAATAATTTTTTATTTTTTTTTTGAAAAGTTATACAACAATTCTTAATCCCTCCTTTTTAACATTTAAAAAGTTTCCTTCTTTTAATGAATACTCGTATAATAATAGATGGCCAATAATTTCTCAAATAAAAATATGATTAGTAACAGTAAGTAGTCAAGTAACACAACAAAATTTAAAATAAAAAACTTCATTTATTGTAACAATGGCCAATAATTTCTCAAACACAAATCAACAACACTAATGGGCCTTGTTGGAAATCGCATTGAGGTTAGAGTTTTGTAATAGTTATTACGTGATTATGTTGATGATTGTTCGGAGGTTGACTGGCTCATACATGGCTAAATAGCAAGTTGCATGGAAATCACCTTGGATTTTTCTACGAGTAACTATTGAAGGTGTTAAGTAGGGCATGGTTGTTGGAGAAGAAAATGACAATACAACTTATTTCAGTGTAATTGTTAAACTCAAAGTCTTGAGCTTTTAGTATTCTAAGTCTTGAGCTTTTAGTAATGTGAATGCGATTTAAATTAATTGCCTACAAACCTGAAAAAAGAGCTTATTGATTGAGTTCAAGTCAAACAAGTGCGAGAATATAAAGAAACGGAATTATGCAATATTTTCAAAATCATTGTTTATTTATTTATTTTTTTTTAATTTTTTAATGTTTTGTAACTTACAACTTTACAAGTATAAAGCAAATAGAACCCGTGATATCAAGATCATGAATCCAATAAATCAACACAACAGTTTCATGATGGATATAATACTTCCTGAAATTTTGATCCCATACCTAGGATGCGTTTGGTATAAAACATTTAAAACGGGATAGAGATGAAACAAAATTTTAATGCTGGATGTTCATTAGATGCACAGTGTGCACCGTACATACTGCCTAAACCAATGCCCCACCATTAGGGACTAGGGAGTAGGTTAGGACACAACTAAGCTAAAACATTAGCTGGTTCAGTGGTTCGTAAGGTTCGTTCGATAAACCCTGGTTTTCATCATTTCCTGGGAAACTTATTGCTCGTCACACTCATGGATCTCAATCTCATACGCTGATAGTTAGATTATTAATTAAATGAAGTTAATGGTAAGTTTTACCTTTTCATGCTCCTTTAACAAATCAATTTATCAATTTATCTTGATTGCTATTATATTTTCTGGAACAATTCATTTGATTTCATAAAAATTATCAAAAGATCTGAGCTTTCTGCTAATTCATTCTAAATATTCAACATATTTGATGTTTGTTTAATTAAGAATTGGTTATATTATGTGAAGGTAGGTTCGTTGGAATCGAATGAAGATAAAAAGAGAAATTAGTGTAAATTCATTGTTGAAAAAATTCAGAAGTGGGTTTCAAATGTTGTCAAATATTGACTGGGTTTCAGCTTATGGGTCTCAATTATCGGCAGCCACTGTTCTGGGTGTGGTTGGTTTGTTCTTGGCTGTTAGAGATGGTAGGATGGGGTATTTCAACAGTTTTCCCTTGTTGTCAGCAAAAACTAACACTCCTAAGAAGTTGTATTTCGTACCCGGGTTGCGAAATTTGGGCAACAATTGTTTCCTCAATGTGGTTTTGCAGGTAAATTGAGTCAAATTTTGCACAGGTTGACAGTTTGTGGAAGTGATACATATTGTAACATTGCTATCTTAATTTGGCCTAATTTTGGGTTGATTTTTGCTTCAGGCACTTGCTAGTTGTTCAAGTTTTAGGTGTTTCTTAGAAGATGTTCAGAACTCGCAGGCGGTGTCTATAGTGGAGCAGGCTAATGATTTGCCCCTTTTGGAATCTTTGGCTGCTTTATTAGAAGGTAAAAAATCTTGAGGGCTTTGTTCATACTTAATTGGATTATATTGTTTTGCTGTTACTGCTATTTGCTTATTTATGCTTCCATGTTGTTGGGATGGCTGTGTGATTGATGACAGGCAAAGTTTCCTTGAATTTAAATTTTTTCTCATGACTGTGCTATCCATGAATGACTCTGCTTTCACTACTTTATATTTCTTACATGAATGATCAATGATGTGTCCTTTTTTAAATGATGTTTTTAGCTGGTCTACTTGTTTTTTTCCCCCTGGTTTAAAATAAATGTGTGCTAAGACTGATCAAATTCTGATTAAAGAGGCTTCTTTCTATTTCCGGGAGAGGCAAAGGTGCAATTGTAACTATTAAATTTTTTTCCACATATATGCATCTTTTAATTAGGCTTCACTTGTGGCAGAGTTGAGCATACTTCAGGAGAAAAGTAGACCATTGAACCCACACAAAGTGATGTCTGCCATGCAGCAGTATATCCCACAATTCCAACTGTCAAATCAACAGGTGAAATTCTTTTTGTCTTGAAGTTTTTACAGGACATAATCTTTTTTGCAGAATGCCTCATCTTCTCTTTTGAACTTTTAAATAACTTAAAATAGCTATGATAATGACCCTGCTTCTCATGTGTAACTGGCGGTTGCATCTACAAATAGGATGCAGCAGAAGCATTTCTTCATCTTCTATCCTGTTTAAGAGACGAATTATCAGAGTCTTATATGCCAAACCATGGCTCCCTAGCAGATGTGGATGCCCCTACTAGTCGAATTCTTGCTTCTTAGAGGATAAAGGACATAAAGGAGCCAGAAAGGTGGCAGCAGCAATATCTTGGCCCTTTTAATGGGATACTTGGCAGTTTTCTGACCTGCCAAAGCTGTTCTTCCGAGGTGGGTGTCACTCATTCGTATTTCTCTCTGATGATATTGCTGGTCTATTTATTGAATCACCTTTCTTTTTTCTTGCAGATTATGATGGATTTTGATTTCTTTCACACCTTGTCACTCCCCCCAGTTTCCAACTCTGGTTCTTCCATTGTATGCTTCCATTACCTAATTATCTTCTATTTGCGCTCGAAAGTCAAGTTCTTCATATGTGGTTGGAGGCTTGGAGCTGATATTAGATGCGACTGAGGTTGTTTATATTTCTCAAACATGCATGCAATGTTAGCTGGATAGATTTACACTGGAGGATTGCATGAAGAGGTTTCTGGCTCCTGAACATGTTGAGAACTATTTCTGCAGCCACTGTTGGCATATTGCTGCAGTAAAATTTTTATCCTCTGTCGGAGGACGGCAGGTACTTAACTTTATTTGCCGGATTTACTGAAATTGTGCTCATAGCTTTATGTTTTCCTCTCTTCAATACCCGAATACCCGGTATGATACTAATCTCGTCCACCCTAGTCCAGTCTGTTTTCTTTTTATTTTCTTTTTACTGTTTCCTCTTTCTTTTTGGTCAGGAAGAGATCAGAAAATTGAGTTCCTGTAGCGACTCCAGCGAGAAAGACTCTTGCAACTGTAGGAATATGTCATCACTTCAGAGACTTTCTTGGTCAAATCACTTTTCACATGCTTTTAAACAACTCAGAATTACTCATTGTCCAGAGGTATGAAATTGTGAAGCTCTTTCTGCCCCTTTTTTCCTGGTAACAAATGCTGAATTAACCTATTTTCTGACACATGGAGCTCTTTAAACACATGCACAACCACATAAGCAAAAATGCTCATGTCTGCACTTTTTCAAAAGCTCTTTTAGTAATTTTTTTTCCTGATGAATTAGGTTCTACATATATATGTATATATGTTTCATCTTTTTCTTTCCTCCCAACTCCCTTTGGTGGAATGATCTGTAACCACCAGATTCTATAGTGATGTGCTTGTGAGTGGCTGATAATCGTCATTGAGGCTCTAAGTACCATGACTCTTTTGAAATACTTGAGGAGCCGATCATTTTCTGTAGTCTCCATAGAAAGAATGCTCCAAAGTCTTGTGCTAATTACATGATAGATATAACCATCCTGAATGAATGGCTCTTTTCTGAGAAGCTGATCATTTGTTTGTTGTTTTTATAGAGAAAAGGAGCTGTTAGTGCCAGATGATGTTGTAGGGGTTGTTTCATTTGTTTGTGTTTGTTTCATGGGAATATGAACTTAGATTGAGAATCTTTCCCTGAGTAATTTCAACTCAACTCTGAGTTTAAATTTCTATCACAAAGCAAGGATTATATTAGATCAAAATAAAAATTTCCAAAAAAGATAAAGAAGAAACAAATAGTAGTTGGGAGAACACCTTCCATTCGATTTTTAGTAAAATCATAAATAGCTTTTGTACTAGACAAGATAGAGAACTATTTATAGGGAATACTAACTGTGTATGATATCCCTAGCTCACTTGAATTTTATCCTTCATGATTATTCTATTGCCTAAATAGTTGTACTCAAGTGTAGTAAAAGGGGGCAATCAAACTTCATTACAAAATTTGGAAATTCTGTTAGGTCCCTAGACCAGTTGTGTCGTCCCATACGGCCTAGCCAACGTACCCCATTGTTTTTATCAATTTTCTTCCAATTTATCATAA